GTAAAGATACTATATTACAAATAAGCAAATCGATTTTTAGCAGCTGCTGCCCACTGATATGTTAACAGATTGTTTCTTGTAGTTAACAGACCCCCGTTAAGCATGTTGTAATTGCGATCAAGTTTGAGAACTCAACCAATTTTGAAACTAACAGTTTGATGCTAACAAACTGCTGTTAATTTCTTCATCTTTATGTTTGGCTTATTCTCGATCTACCCCCGTTAAAGCCGCTTTGCCAAACATATTCCGAAGCATTGTATTTCTGGTCTGGATTTTGAATAATGACGCGGCGCGTGCAAATAAGAGCAACATTTATGGCAAGCTCTAATTGGATATTAATGATGATAAGCTCGGTTTTGGCCATGCCAAACTGTTCACACTTGCAACACACGAAACCCAATCCAAGCCTCATTAAGTAGCTGCCCGATTTGGGTGGTGTTGTCTAAGATAATTGCCAAGACAACTGAATTTTACTTATACATTTGTGACTGAATTTTACCTATATTCAACAAGAACAAAAATACAAAAAAGAAAAAAAATCATATGAAACGAGTTCAATGGTGAGAAATACTCATAAAACTGTAAACGAACGAAGATACTCAGATATGAAGAAAATCAGAAGAAGTGTTTTATATCAGATAAGATAAGATAAAACAGTTACACTACTAACACAATATAGTTGCTATGTACACAGAATTCTATTATCAAACCTAAAAGATATATCAATAAAATAGACTCGTATCACTGCTGCTCAGTTTTCACATGCTATACGAGTATTTTTATTGGCAGCAACGCGATCAGTGACCCATTTATCAATGTTAAACAGCATTATGCCTATTTATGATTTTGAATAAGAAGTTATGGCATTCTATTGGAAATTTGATAAGATATGTCTCGTTCAGTTTAATGATGCAATAATATTGAGCAATATCCGATTGACTGTCGCACCCATATATATAAATATATGTAGTCCCGTATTTCCTCAGAACCTTGGGTAAGTGTAACCGGTTCAAAGACTTTGATTTCTAAGGTTGTTTTTTTCGCAATTAGCTGCGAGTTTTCACAAGCTGTGCCCAGCCCCTTTTCCAGGTTATCGTAGAATGTACTTATGAAGACATACCATATACTTATTATTTGCCTGGCATCAATAGCCAAGGGTCTGACCAGATTTCTTGTGGCCTTGGCCGATTGTTTTATGTGCTTAATTAACTTTTCTTTTCTTTTTTTTATGCAGCGAAACCAATTGACTTAAACAAGCATCACAATTATACATGCTCATAATGACGACTTTGCTTGACCAAGTTCACGAATAAATTGTGCACATGGCCAAGCAAATGCAGACTACCAATTTTGAACTTGGAATATGACAAATTTGTAAAGATTGTCAGATGAACGAGAGAAATCAATCTTGCACTTTAAGCAACTGCCAAATCGTTTTGAATGCGCTAAGAAGACTTTTTCGATCGAGACATGTGAGAATTGTTTCTTTGAGTTATGAAATTAATCATTCGAAAACCGGTTTTTCATATGATTTACATAGAGCAAAACCAACAGCCACACAGCTGAGTGCTGAGACACTTTAAGCCCACCAGCAGCTGCCGACAAACATTTGCTGCGTTGCGAGAAATTTATATGTGCTGACCCTGAAAATGCCATAAATACATTAACCAAACGCATACCGTACAAATGTTGTACCCACTGCTCTGTCCCGCCAGCCACAAAAAAGCCAAAAAACAAATGCATAATAAAAAGCGTTAATAATTTGTTATTATTGTTCGATTTGGTGCTTCCATTGAACTGTGAACGCATGCGTCACTGTGACTTATGCGGCGTAAAAATCAAGAAATATATGAGAGGAAAAAACCAATAGCTATTCATAGGAATGGTAACAAAAACCACACACACCACACCATCAATTGCAATTATACAGAAAAAATTGTACAACATACATAAATTAGCTTGTTAGAGTGATATCGATATCGGTTACACTTTAACACTTCATAATTCTAATAGTTGATGCTATCAATAACTAAAGATAGACAACCCTTAGTTTAATTGCTTGAATTTTCAACGTTGAGTCGAGTTTTGGAAACCATTAATTATTATTTGCTTTGTATATTTCTATAGATTTTTTTAGAACGGAACGCATAGATAATTAAGCAGCCCTGACGGCTTGGCAAAACTTGAATAACTTTTAAGAATCTTTTTAAACGTATGTTTTTTCTGCTTCATTTTATACAAATTGATTAAAGTAGAGGTCAGTATTTTTTAAGTAAAACATAATGAGAAACCGGAATTTTTGGCGTATGTCGTTGGGCTAAAAGCAAATGTGATGACAACAACTGTTGCCAATGTTGTTGTTGTGGCCATAAATGACAAAGCCAAGTGCCGTTACATACGATAAAGTAAAAATAACAAGAAATATTTAAAGAAAAAGAGTTGATGCAAAGAATGAATATTATAATAAATAAAAATGAAATCGTGTTGGTCGCATGAGTAACGGCATTATGCAAATCAAACAGGGCGGCGAAACGAGGGCGTCGCGGCGAGCCTTTGAATTCGCCCAACGCCCAAGGTCAATGGTTGGTTGCGTCTGCGCAAACAGCAAGCAATGACAGCAAAAGCGATCAAACAAATTGCGAGCACTGCAAATAAAGCAACACAAAGAAAGAGATAGAGAAACAGGGCGAGAGCGAATGAGATGGAGACATATGGCAACTGGCAAGTGGTTGCTGCTTTGTGCGTCAGGGGCAGCCGCTTAGCTCGATCATGTCCAGGAGCAAAAGTGCGCTGAGTCAGAGTCAGCCAAATTGATCGTCGTCGGTCGTCTGTCAGTTATGCAGTCGTTCATTATACAAGCAGAGATCGTACGCGTTTGCGTGGTTCAATGAACGTAATGTAATGTATACTCTATACACTTTTTGTACAACAACACCTCAACTCACTCCATATGCTCAACAATGTACACAACAGCCAGCCAGATAGCCAGCCAGACAGACCGATGCCGGCCATTACAGTTAACAAAAACAAACAAACAGTTAGCCAAAATCAACAAGCCAAAAAAAATAAAGCACAACAAAATTTGGCAAATGGCCGCTGCTGCCCTCAGTTTTCAGTCGTTAGCTCGATCAACATTAACACAAAACAACATCTCGAAAAAGGAAGTAATGAAATTTTATGAAGTATACGAAAACAGATCGCAACGATTATTCGATATTGCATTCATAATAATATTATTATTATTATTTTCGTTTTTGTTATTGTAGTCAATCACCTTTTGGCTGGCTGAATGCATTTATAGGAAGTCAATAAAACCAATATAAATCATTTCGCATAAGCAACAACATTTCTCCAACATTTGCGGTTTAAACAGCGATTCTATGCAGGGGAGGTGACGAAGGTAGGGGAGACCTGAGGGGCAGACACACTAAAACGTTGCATGTGTAAATTTTCGGCCTGCCTTGCAGTTGTCGGAACTGCTCGAGAATAGTGAGCTCAAAAGTCAAGACAACATCAAGTCAACTTCATTGTTCTTGTTGTTGTTGTTGCTTTAGTTGTTTGTTTTGTTGTTGTTGCGGTTGCTGCTGCTGCTGCCGGCGGTAGTCGCATCGATTATGAGCGTATATGGACTACGGAGACAAGTCCGGTTTGTTTTGGAGCGTGATAAACGTCAGATAAACGAGCCCGAGCTCGGAGACCGAGAGCAAAACAGAAGCACAAAATTGTACACAAAGCAACTGAAACAAAAGCCATGACTACGGCATAGCTGAAGTATTTGAGCCCCTCCCAAGACTTTGTTCTTTTAATCCCCCTCCCCATCGGTGGCGGGGGTAAAACGAAACAGTGAAAACATAGCGACCTGGGACGAGCGCTGACATAATTGCAGGCCAAATATTTGAAATGCGAGTCAACAACACAAAAGGATTATAGTCCCAAGTAACGAAAGCAGTTCAAGAACATTTTTGTTTACTATTTGATTTAGAAATATATTCCAATATTTATCTAAACTTCAACTGAAATATAATAGGAGAGTATGTAAAGAATATTTAAAAATCTTTTTTTCATTATGAACTAGATAAATATTACTTGAATGATGCTAAGCCTCATAAACAGTTTGCCTAATTTGAGAATGTTAGACTGAATGATGAATGAATTAATATAATCAGAAATTAATTCAGAGAGAACAATTTATATGGTATGCTAATCGCTGTAGCACCCAATTTTCAACAGTCAGTTCTTTGGCACCGATTTGATATTGTTTTCTGAGAATGTTTTCGACAAAATGTTGATATCATATTCAATCTTTTATGTGGTTGAATTGGGAGAATATATGATAAAAATACTTGCCAGAACCCATGTATATGGCAACTATATATAATATATAACAGTTCTGAAGCAAGCTTTATGTAAATCACATTTCTCTTCAATTTCGTGAAAGAAATATTTAAATAGGAAATAAAGCATAAAATCAACAAAAATTGCTGCAACCCTTACAACATAGAGAGGGTTCTCAGCATATGATCGACTAGCTACGAATTTCGTTTGGTAATGAGGCCACCGAAAATTGAAGTGAACAAACCGATCGTTGAAGTGTGCCACTCCAGGCAGAGACTCGTGGAAGGCCAAGAGCTGCGCCGGCGGCACGTAGAACATTAAAACGCTTTTAAGCACTGGCCAAAACGTACCGTTCAAAAGCGGCGCTTAGTTTGCTTAATGAGCTGAGCGACGTTCCTTAAGTATTATAAGTAGGGGCGGCAGGCTTGACCAAATTTGGCATATAGAGAGATCTTGAACGGACCGAAACCGTAGAATGAACGACGCGCTGTTGTCAACAAATGTGAGGAACGACTTAAGTTTTAAGTGCTGACAGAACGCTTAGTCAGCAGCAGCAAGAACCAGCCAGCCACTGGTACTTGAGTCTACCTATCTATCTTCTGTTTCCGCATGCTAAAGCTGAAGTTTATGCTGCTGTTGCTGCCGGTGATGATTTTAAGAGATACTTACTTATACTCACACGTCGTGGACCCCAAGTGCTCGGACCGACGTCGCGTTTGCTGCTGTTGATGTCTACTATGCCTGAGATTGCTATTGTTATTGCTGCAGTTGTTGTTGCTGTCAGCGGCAGCTGGCAACAATACGCGGTCGGGATAGAGCGGCTTGGGTGCCCACGATGCTGCGGCCACATAAATGTCCGTTCGAGGCGTTTGCGGTTCGGGTGTGCCCGCCGCATAGCTGTAGTAACCATCCTCGGGCTCATCCACCACCGAGAGTCGATGCTTCGTCATCGTTGTCGTTGTATTTTTCGCATCATCGCTATAGAGGTACTCGTGCATGGAGCGCGCATATTTGGCGCTCTTGCGTCGCTGCTGGGCTGGAGTGGAGTGGAGTGGAGCAGCACCATTGTGACTAGTAGTGGGGGATCGATGGCACAGCTCGTTGTGATCGGGCGAGGCGCGTATCCAGGAGCTGGCCGGCACATATTGTCGCTGCTGCTTGTGGCTGTGCACCACCTTCGAGAAGTCCACATAGAGGGCCTCATCTGTGGCCGGTTTGCGCTGGAACTCATCGTCATCTTCGTCGTGGGGTGTTGTGGTTTGCGCACCCACCGAACTGTAGAAACTGTAATTGCTTGAGGATTGCGAATAGGATCGATTGCGGTGGCCATAGAACTCATCCTCAAAGGGCAGTCCTTGTGGAAACTTCTTGGAGAAGGCCTTCTTCAATTTCGGCGAATCATGCGAATCGCTCGAGCCCGTCGATGAGCCACCGCCCTCAGCTGGCGCGGCACGCTGTCTGAGACTAAGCTTGGGCGTTGCCGGCAGCTGTCGTCGCTGCGCCAACGGTGTGGCTTTCCCAGCTATGAGATCATTGGGTTGCTTACGCTGTTGCTGCTGTGGCGGCAACGGCGCTGGATAATTCTTGCTGGAGCGCTGTGCATTCCGCGTTGTCGTCGTCGCCGGACAGTTCTCCTTGGCGCAACGGCCATTTGTGGCCTGATATGCGCGTTTCTGTGAAGGATTAGCAGCCGGCGCTTGATGTGTTCCCGTTGCCGGATTCTGTTTCCTAGATTGCAGCAGCTGATTTGCAGGTGGCGCTGGTGCTCGAGGTTTGCCATAACGAGAGCTGGTTGCGTTGTTGGCACATGTGTTCTCAATGCGCCTAATTAGTTTGGGTGTTAATGGTTTAACGTTCCGTTGTTGCTGCTGCTGATGTGGCGACAAGTGTGTGTCTGGCAATCTGTGACGATTGCTGCTGCAGTAGCTGCTGCGCCAGGGCTGCTGTCGAGTAAAACCGTTCGAAACGCCCTGCTGCTGCTGCTGCTGATTGAGCGAGGACGATGATGATGAGCAGGTGGAGCTCGAGGCTGCATTGGGTTTTCCATTGCTGTTGCCAGCTGTTGCTGCAGTCCTTGTTGCTGTTGCTGTTCTTGCTGTTGTTCTATTGGCACCATTGCTACTTAGGGGTTGTCCAGCGTTGCCACTTGTGTTGTTGTTGTTGCTATTGTTGTAGCCACAACTGCCACGAGGCACTCGAAAGGAGCTATACGGACGGAAGCCGTTAGCATATTGCTGTCCCACGATGGGCATTTTGTTAGCTTGTTCGTTTTGCTTGTTGTCGTCGTTGTTGTTAATACAAATCGTTGTTGTTTCTTTTTGCCGCTGCTGTTTCTGGCATTGACAAACGTTGATATTATTGTTGTTGGCGTTAAAATTTAAACGTTTGAATCTCATTTACTTTAAACGCGAGCGCGAAATTTTAATTCTGTTCGTCTATTTTTCTTTATCTTTGTATCTGCAACATTATTAAGATGCCGCAATTTATTTCAATTGAATTCTCAATGCTGTGCACACACACACACAAGCTAAGCCGCCAAACCCAAACCCAAACCCCTCCCGTACCGTCCAACTATTAACTCATTTCATTTCAATAAATTATCGGGCAGTTTTTTTTCTTTTTGTTTTCTGTGTAATTAACACGTTCTCATTGGCTTATGAATTTTGTTCGTGTCAGTTAGTTTAGAGCGCAACCTGCCACCCCACCACACCCCAATCACCCCGTCGAGCACAATTGCTGAGCTGTGCCCCACGATTGCATTTGTGCGACTTCTTGGCTTGGCCGCATTTGTTGCTGCTGTTTTGTTGCACACATGTCAACCAACGTTGCAAAAATTTAATTAGCTGTGAAACTAACCCTGAACCTAGCCGCGATTTTGCCTATCCACTAAACGCGTCAGCAGAAAACACAAAAAAACCAACAAATATAACAAATCCAATTGACAAGTTCATTGATAGGACGACGACAACGTCAAGACCAACCAGTTTCTTTGGCTTTATGGCTTTATGCAACTTATAAAACTTTGGTAGAAAGTGGCAAGCGCAGCAAGCTACAGCTATATACAACAGGTCCTCTCCACCGAGACCAGTTTTCACAATTTTTACTCTTTTATTTATTTTTTTTCACCTGATTCGAGAAAAGGAAACGCAAACGGGTCAACAAAAGTTGAACCAACTGACAACTTGTTGCGGCAGCTACAGCTACAGCTGCTGCCGTCTGCTGCTGTTTTGGTTGTTGTTAACTTGGCTAATGACTCAAGTGACGACAGCAAACGAACCGTGAGTAATGCAAAGAGAGTTCGTTCGAAATCGGAAATGCGTGGAAATCCCTTTTGCAACCAGTCACTATCAACATGTCCGCTTACGATAAGACCAACAACAATACATAATCAGTATATTTTTTAGTACGTATTTATTTGGTTGGCGTCTAAACGCCGTCTTCGTCTTATCTTATCGAAACGCTAGTCAACCCAACCAAGTGTGTTTGGCATACAGCATTGAAAAAAATTATGAATTTATATATTCTCATTATGAATTAGAAATTGCTCAACGATAAACAAGAAACACGTTGTTCATTTACAGGATGCATTAAACAAGAGTTGTTATTGTTGTTTTTGTTCTTGCTGTTGTTGTTGTAGCTAATTCAATATGCACTAAACACACACACTCATATTGCACACTTGACAGCTGCATTTGTTGAAAATTATAAACACACTATTTTGTATTCTATTTTTTACATTTCTTTCATAAAGGCGCACTTGGTTGTCGTTTGTTTGTTGTATTTATTGTTGCTGCTAATGTTGAGGCTGCACGGCGGCGTCGTCCGAAGCCAGCACCTCCATTCGCTTGCAAGTTGTCGTTGCGACTGAGCTTTCGTGCGACAAGTCCGCAGCGAACAAGTGTCGGTTGTCGCGGTTGCTTGCTCGCTGCTAAGACATCGACGCCGTCGGCGCTGCTGCGCACACATTTCCAGTTTACAGTTTGATCTTGCCCAACGGCAGTCAAGTCAAATCGCCGCATGCTGAATTCGCCGCGGCGCGTACACTGTGCGTGTGCGCCCAATTGACAGCTCGCACACACACTCGCACAGAATGAATACATTTAAACAATTGAAATTGTAAATATATTTAAACAATCAACAGCAAAAATTCAATAAATAGCGGAAATGCTGCAGCAACGTTTTGACACTTGAATATAATTTATATACCCTGTAACCCAAAATGGGCAAGACAGTGTATAATTTAGTAGTCCAAAAAACGTGAAGAAAAAATCTTTAATTTTCCTCAGTATTCATATTCTTGGAATGAATATAGCTTTCTTTGTCTTTGTGAACAAAATAAAGTATTTCAGATACTTACTCATATATCCATAAAATATAAATAAACAGTAAACGCAGCGATTAAACTTTTTTTGTTCCTTAAAATTTTTGGTTGTCATGTTTTTTAAAAACGATATACTGAATTCAATATTGATACCCCTATAATATTAAAAATGTTTGGGATGATTTATGCCATCTTAAACGGAATTTCAGTTTTTAATTATCTGCTAAATGGTTGGCAATTTCTTTTAATATTTAGACAGTAGTTGTTTTCCGTCGGGCTTTTTTTTCTTTGATTATTGGTTAGCTGCTTTTTTTGTTGATACTTCCGCGTTGCAAGGTGTCGGATGAGTAATGAGGCAAATGAGACAAGCCGCCGCTTGAGCAATTAATCTGGTGGTACTGGTAAACACTTGGCAAGCGGGTTTTTATTGCAAAATGAAAAGGTTAATAAACAAGGCGACTGTTGCGCATGAATTCCAGAAGTTTACGACAAAGAAAGCGACACTGCTGCTGCTGCTGTTAGTGGCAAATAAAATTGCAAAACGCGACACTGATTGAGCCAAACTCAGCCAAGATATGTCAACGGGGGGGAGCAGACAGCAGATGCTGCGGCCGTGGTTGAGGCCATGCCTAAAAAGGCCAGGCCAAGTTTATAAAATAAAAAAAACAATAACAATAATAAATGCGACAACGTCGCGCCTCAATTGTCGCTGTCTGCGTTGATTTGAGTAATATGCAAATATGTTTTAAATACGCAAGCAAATAAATTAAATCAACTGCAACAAGCAAGGAAATGCAACGGGGCAGGACTCACTGACGCCTACACACTGATCAGATGAGATGCCAGAGCTGAAGCGGGTTAATTACAGTTGGCAGCTGGCAGTTGGCACAAAGAAATCGCAATCACTACATAAATCTACAGTAAGCTGACTAAGGAGACTGCCTGCGAATGACTCGCCTGCCACCAATCTCAACTTGTGACACTTACAGGAACGAACAAACGAGCCGATTTCACCTGCCTTATATGGCCCAAAATGTTACTGGGACTACTTGGCTTGGCTGCTGCGCGCATTTTACTGCCGCATTGGCAAATTAAAGAAAATTCCATTTAAAAGCCATTGCTCAGCAATGTAAAGTCGACAGGAGACACTGCGTAGGCAGGACACCAGATCTCTCTCGATGATGATACATATAACAATACAAAGCGAAATTCCCATTTGGGTTTTCTTTGTCTACTCTTTCCAAATCATTCAAACATCAGTATCTTAACATATTCATAAGACTAAAGTTCATTGTGTGAACAGCTTACATAAGATTTAGTTCATATCAATTTGGATTTATACCTATTGCTGTTAATCGTTTTGTGAAAACAAAGTTGTTCAGCTTGCAGCAGTCCATAACAGAGACAAATTTAAATTTTAACAATACGAAATAATTTAAGAATTCAATTTGATTTCAGATACAATCGTTTGCTCAACTACATTTTGCTTATAAAATAGTAAAACAGTCATTCAGTAATTAGGAAATGCTATAGATAACGCAAAGAAATTGTTGAATTTTGTGTTACTCACGTCGGCTCCTTGGATATATGGGATGTGTTTGCATCAATCTCATGCCTCCGACGCTTTGCTGCGGATCTGGTTTGATGTGTTTTGGTTATGCGCGGACTATTTATAGAGAACAAAATTTCACCGTTATAATAATGCAAGAAAATAATGAGAGTGAGTTGTTCTTGTGGGCACAAATGCATATGCATCAATATTCATTGAGCAATACTTGCCCCGGGAGGCATATGCATATGCACACACACACACACACACATATACGTATAAAGGCATATGTGTATATTGTATAAGAAAATAAAACTTACGGCGAAGGCGCTTCAGCTAAGGGTGGCGATAGATCACCAGTATCTAGTCGTCTACGTTTGTCTCGTGTGCCGGCTGAGGAGCGATCCCTCGAGTGATGGCGTCGCCTAGTTCGTGGCATCTGTAAATTCACATAAAAATCCTTTTATATATATGCATATATATTTCTCACATATGACAAATATTTGTTTGTACAAACACACACACACACACACACACACACACACGCCGACACACAAAAATACGCTGTGCCTACGTCACACGCTCAGTTCAGGTGAAGAGCTAAGATATTTGCTTAAACCTCAGTCAAAGGTGAGTATCACTGTCCGTGTGTGTATGTGCATGTGTGTCTGTGTGTGTGAGTCTGTTTCAATTGCAATGTGATGCACGTGTGTAAGTGTATATTTGATGTGTGTGTGGGCTTTACTTTTGCCTGTACTTTGAGCAAAGAGGAGCAGAGGGAACATGCTGAGCATACCTTTAACGCTTGATTTTCAGTTCAGTTTTTTTTTTTCGATTATGAAGCACACTAAACTTGTGCTGCTGTTGCAGCAAAAAACAAAAAGCAGCGCGAAAATTGATTTTTGTATGTATTTGTATTTTGTTGTTGCTGGCTCCACAAAGCGTCAGTCGAATTTACGCAGCTGCCTGTTTTGCTTGTAGGACACTTTTGGCACGCATGTGTTAAATGCAGAGTCACAATTACAGACACTAGCTTAATTTTAAACTGTTCTTTTGGCTCAAAAGTACTTAAAATCCCTTTAATGTTAAGATTTTCTTTTTGTGAAAATCGTGTTTTTTCTACACATATTTCACGTCACTTTCATTAAATTCACCACGTCTGCTGAGTGCTGCCATCTTGTCGTAGCAAATTATCGAGCTGCCAACTTGCTAAAAAAAAAAAAACAATTCCAGCCAAACGATAAAATTGTTTATATATATAGCATATGACATATATGCTTATCAGGCGGGATTTGTTTGAATGTGCATATATATATTTGCATGTACGATAACTTTAAGTATTCTTTTTAGTTGACTGCATTTGTAAAAAAATTATGCTGAGATGTGGCAACATCTCAAACAGCAGCAGCTGTTTGTCTCTGTTTTACTGGGTTGAGTTTTTTCTAAGCAGTGCGGATATCGCCTGAGCCAGCAGCAGGTAGCCGCAACGGCTTTCAGACACGCCGATACACACAAGCACAGAACACACGCACACACATGCGCACATGTTTATTATGCTTTCTCAGATATGGCGAAAGAAAATCACAGATTTCATAGTGTTTTGTGCTTGTAATTATCTTACCACTTCCTCTTTTTGCGTGTGTGTTGTTGTTGTTGATATCGGTGGCGCTGGTAGTGCTAAAAGCGGCAATCGAGTCGAATATAAGCGACTCCACAGTCCACCAATTACCCGATTTAGCAAATGCCAAGTATATGTGTTTTGTGAGGTTTTCGAGGTCATTAGTGGTAGGCAAATTGCACTAGATCCCTTTATTGTTTAATTACTGTACTTTTTGGCGCTATTTACCGTTAATTGTGACTGTTTGGCGCAGGCATCTTAATAACATTTTACAAATGTTTGACATAATTATAAATGCTCGGTTCTAACGAATTGTAAATTTGTTTATGGAACGACGAAGCACAGCAAGTTGAGTTGTAACTGATACGTTTAGAAAAAAATTGAATTACAAGCAAGCCAAGCGGGTCAGCAGCTGACGTACTCTGCTTCTTGTCGCACAATGTTGCCACATAAATGCCTGACTACGACCAGTGTTGGTAAGTCATTGTACTCAATTGTGTAGTTGCCACACCGTTGGGTTTTGAAAACTCATCAGCTGTCATGTTGTGTGCGCGCGCGCGCTTTTTTGCTTGTTGGCGCCCAACGAAAATACTGGCTATTCAATTGCATAACAATGCTCTGTATAACGGTATCGTTATCGTGCCTCGCATCCTCAGTCAGATATTGACGTGCTTACGCCAACGTGCGCTGCAACGCCTGCCTCCCGCCTTGTAGTGTGCTCCGTGTCCGCAAAATTAGGAAAATTGAACTATAAATTATTCACGAAGAAATCAACACTTGCGCGCGTCAATAATGGCTAAATAATTAATTGCGGGCTTTTGCGGAGCGGAATGCGGCGTCTACGTCAGAACCGTTGTAACCACAAACATAGTCAAAGTTCATAGCAGCAGCTTCTAAAGTTATCCAAAACGTGTTCACACCGCCCCCCAGCCACCCAACCACCCTATTCGCTTCCACAAAAATAAAAAATATATTTATATATATACATATAATATATCACAACGAAGTTTTTTGCTGCCGCATGCAATTAAGTTTTTTTCTTGCTTCTTGGCCATTTTGTTGCCTTGCTAAATTGCACCGTACAACAGAGTTAACAATTGCGAATGTCAGAAGTAAGTATAGCTTATCGATTTTTACTCAAGCGGCATAGGCCTGGCCTCTGCCAAGTCGCGTGATTCACAATAAATATTTCACTTTCGGCTAACCTAACAAAAACTGGCCTCTGCCTCCTAAAAAAGACACTCACCCGCACATACATTTGTCTATATTGTGTGTGTATGTATTTATGTGTGTGTGTGTGGTCGAAATACACTCGCAATCCTTTTTTGGGTCACGAGGCATCGCGTGTATGTGTGTGTGTGTGTGTGTGTTGACATTGTCCTGGTCTCATTTTTCGTACGTAAGCACGTGCTTTTTCGGCACAGGACAAACGAGGCGTATACGTAACACATAAAAGGTCGATTGTGTACGTGCGTGTGTGTGTGCGTGTGAGTGCTAGTATGTGTGTGTGTATGCATGTGTGTATGTTGGGGGCAAGCATTTTTATAGCATTGCGCCCTGGTTTATAATTCATGACTTGTGACTTTTGATTTCAGTTGCTGTTGCCGCCAATTTAAGTGTCTCCCGCCCCCAGTCTCCCCCAACTAGTGTGCGCTTATCCTTAAGGAGATGGACACTGCTGCCGCCGCTGCCGCTGCCGTTGTCGTTGATCTGAGCGCCGAGGCCGCCAAATCGACGGCCAGCAAGCTAATCAGCAAGTCCAAGCTAAAGCCGCTGCCACAGCCGTTAACGTACGCCGCAGCCGCTGTTGTTGCTGCAACTGCAACAAGCGCTGACATTGCCAACTGTCTGGGCAGCAACGTGGAGTCCATGCTGGCAACGCCGCCACCAACGCCGGCGCGCACATTGCACGGCGTGCACGGCAACTGCAATGAGACGGTGGACGGCATCAATATCAACATCACCAGCTCCAACTCCAGCGACTCACATGCGATGAACCTGCTCAAGGATGCTGCTGGTGGGGATTCCGGGCATTCAGAGTGTATATTAGCACCAGCATTAGAGCCATTGATTTCCACAACAACATTAACGTCTTCCACGAACGCTTCCACAACGCCAACGTCTGCCTTGCTTACAGCACCATTAACAGCAACAACAACCGCAACAACAACGACATCAACTGCAACAACAACAACAATAAATGCACTAACAACAGCAACGGGAATTGCAGCTGGAACTGCTGCATCAGCAGCAACAACAACAACCACGACTGGCACGAATGGCTCGAGCGGCACAACAGGAAGGAGCACAGTGACCGAATTGGATGAGCTTCTCCACTGGCAGGATATGCCAAAATATTTACAATTTAATCCATATGTCCTCAAGGGTTACCGTCCGCTGCAGACATTCAAGGGCTGCCTGCTCAGTCTCTTCTATTGGCACAACGAGACCATCAACATACTGACGCACGGTGAGTGTTTCCAAATCCGCCAATTTCTTCCTCTCTTCGCCATTTCGGTTGCTTATTTCTGTTTATCGATCCGTTTCAATGGCATTAACAATCACGTTCAAAGCCAAGTGCAAGCGCATCTATGCATGCGCGTCTTATGCCCATAAATAGTTTTGTTTGTTTCGACCTTTGCTACGCCACAAATAGGGGTGGGTTCGGGGAGGAAAGGCATTTCTAAATTTGACTTATGTGTGTCTGTGTGTGTGAGACATTCCATTGCAAATTGTGTTGTCTTTGAACTTATAGTCAAAGGAATTAACTAGAACAATGTTTGAATAACTTAGTCCCATCGAAAGGTGATGCAGTAAAACAACATGACTTAAAGTCCAAATGATTAAATGACAATGAAATAAATGTTCTGCTAAATGTACATTTTGAAAGTTGTTATTAGAAAGTAATTAAACAGTTAAGAAGTACACTTTGATCATTGTTGTTGAATGATATTAGAAATTGCCAACACAATGATGATATAGATTTTAAAAAATATTGAAGATGAATGTGTTGTTAAATATGTTGACAAACGTAAATATGTTTTCGAAGATAACGTATATTTTCAGTTGTTTGTTCCTATAGGGATGTATGACATAATGTTATTGGTATGACAGTTAACTAGCTGAGCAGTTACTGCTATAAGTTGTAATATTTATATACTCTCGACAAATTGTACTTTTTGACCATTTCATGCGATAACTTTGTCAAAACAGAACCGATTTTCATAAGCTCTAGAGAAACACTGCCTCTTTATTTGGAGCCCAAATTGTTGGTTGAAATTCGTCTTCCCCTTAGGAACAAAAAAGCCGTGAATACTGTCTACCAGGATACAAAAAACCAATTTTTATATTTTGACAAATGTGTTCCGAAAGCTTATTAAAAAGAAAACATTAAGCCTAATTATGCATGTTATTGAAAATTTGTTTATCACAGAGACAATAAACGTGTATCTATTATTTTGTCTATAAAAATAAGTGTATCAGAGCATCCATTCGAAGAGAAAAAGTTAATATATCATACATTTCCTTGGGGGATTCATGCGCGTGCCAACTGCACACTGGAACTCTTTGGCGAATTCACCGAAATTCGAGAGAGGCCCGATCACACGGAATTCGCCGGGCATATGAAGGTCCGTGGATACCTGTAGATGGCGTACACGTGGATGGGCATCATTGCACCAGATTTGTGCATAGCTAATGAAGAACAGCTGCATTTTGGTGTAGTTTAGTGTGGGCAGCTTCTCCCGCAGTAGCTGCTTCCGCCCCTCCACCGTCCGCTCCTGGGCGTCCTGCAGGTCGCTGTAAGCGGCATAGGCCAATCGCATGCCCCCATTATCCGCAATGTTCTCCGATTGTGCCGTCGTCTTGGGCAGCCGGATGCCGTGGTATGTGTATTTACTGTATTGATTCGTAAAGCAACGCTGTCGGTCCACAAAATTGCTTTCGGACTGTGCGTCCCACCAGTCATTCACATTCCCACGTGCATCAAACTTTCGACCGGAATCGTCAAAGCCGTGTATTAGCTCATGGCCAATTAGCGAGGCTAGCGTGCCAAACTTGATGGCATTGGGATAGCTGCCGGCCCAGAGATAATATGGTTGCAGCAATGACACCGGCACCCTAATAGTATTCTCCACCAAAATGTTTGCCGGCGTATAGCTAAGTAGATCACCCGCTTCCAGAGGTTTGACTGGTTGGTGCAACAGCTCTCGCTCCTGCCTGGCACCCAGTATGCGTGTCTGGCGCAGATTCTCTATAAAGTCATCAACATGCAGCTGCAGACCAGCGAAGTCCTCGGTCAGATCCTCATCCGCATGCGAGTTCACTTGCAGCGTCATCGCATCCAGTTTATTAATCGCCGCTTCGCGCGTCCGACGACTTATCCACTTTAGAGATTGATCCGATTGCAGTTTCTGCTTAAAGGTGGACTTAAGCTGGCCCCAAATGAGATCAATATCTGATGCAGTGACGTTGTTATTATAGCGCCGATAGATCATGTTGTCCAAATTCTTGGCGAAATATTTCTTGGTAATTAAGATGCATTTGTCCTGCCGGCTGGCATGAGTTGTGCCCGGATCCATGGCAAACTCGTCAATTAAACGATAGAATATATAGTTAGCCACAATACCTGGCGATGTACGCTTCATCACATTGATCACATTGCGTTGATAATTCGAATTAAAGTCATACACAGAGTCCGTAACCTGCTCCCCCAACGATATGTTGACCAGTCGCTCCACATTCAAATGCGGTGCATATTCTCGCTGCATTTGCGCAACGGTTTTCAGCTGCGAAATATCACTGATGCTGAGGCCATCGCCCTCATTGATCAACCCCTTGGCTAGCTGCACCTCAAAGTCCATCAGTTCGGTGGCTGTGGGAAGTGCCATTTTCATATCCATGCCCAGAAATGTGACCAGCTTTTTGGCCACACTGATCGTATAGGCCATGCGATAGCTGGCAGTGTGATTATCGAGATACATGTTGCGCGACTCGAGCACAAACTCTTGCTCGCCAATGTACACCACGTTCACCTCGTTGTTGGCAAAGTCCTTGGTCACCTCGACGCCCATAATGATGACGAGGCCATAGCGATATGCAATCCGTGCCACAGTTTCCAGCCAATCAAAGTTCGACATATGCCACGATTCACCCTCCAGTGCCGGCATTGCACCGAATTCAGCGATTATGTCCCTCATCTTTTGCTGATAACTTGCGTCCACCTGGCGGACCTGCGTGCACGACTTGTAAAAGTTCTTCACCTGCACATCCTCGGCTGTATCCAGGTCACTGTTTTCGCTATTCAGCGTATGCTTCACCTTGCGATCGAATCCATCGGTCAGACGCTCAAACAGACCCGTCGTGTATTGGCCGGGACCAATGGCTGGATTAATGCGCGGCCAATTACCGCAAGCAAAGTCATAGAAATTGAAACATGGATCGACGCTCTCATCCATAAAGTTCGCCATTTCTGCTGCCTTTGCTTGCCGCATCACTTCCTCGATGAGCGTCGCGTCCAGCTTACTGTCGGCTATATAATCAGCACTGCTCGGCGCTGTCCGAACACTTGGGGTCAGAATCAGCATCAGAGCGTTGAATGATAGAAACCAAAGTGTGTGACTCACTTGGATTCGCATCGTAAGCGTTGCGACGGCGGTGTTTCTTATTGTGTTCATAACTGATGACTGAGCGGTACTCGCAACATTTTAACAAAATATAGAGTAGATCTCAGCATGTATATATATGTATATTGCTGATAATTGAGAGCAGAAGAGGCCGACATGCGACCCCATGAGGTTATCTTCATCAATACTACTACTCTCGGCACAACTCAGTCCCACACTCACGAGTTGCGAGTGAAAACAAACAAACAAAATTGCGAGTAATCGACATCTACACAAATAGCGCTGTTTGTTATATGACGTACTACGCACCCACCAACGCCAGCTTGCGATTAAATAATTGAGAAAACCCATAGTTCGAAAGCTAATCTTATTTCGGCATTTCTGAATTTGTTGGCATTTCACAAAATGAGAACGCGCGTACTTTGAGTCATAGTGGGATGAAATCAATTTAATGGTAATTTTAATTTTTTTTATTATTATTATTTAAGTAGCTTACTGTGCTTATAGTTTATTATGTAAGGAACCTTTCACATTTAGTTAGATAAGCTATTCTACTATGAGACTTTTATTCACTACACTTTTCATATATTTTTCCTCAGCATTAAATAAATATTTACTTTGGACTCAGTGTATCATGTTTCCGTCAAAGTTGAATGTCATTTTAGCATGCTTTGAAATTGAACTTTTCATAACAAACAAAAACTGCCTTTACCACAGTTATATAATTATGAATTTTACAAAGTATCGATCCATCTGCTGTCAAACTATCAAGTTGGCAATGCCACAATTGCACGCAATATTATCATTTCGCTGCTCATTTTTTATTTCCTTTTATACCCCCTTGCAATGTCGTGAAATTTGCAAGTCGAAAGATAAGTTTGAATGCGAAAAACTTTTTAGTTTACAAAATTATCATGACCAAACTCACCGAGTATGAAAGTTATACTGTTTCATGCATTAAGATAAATCTATATCAAATGAATATATCAGATAGGAACAATTAGTTGACTTTTTAAATATCGATGTCGGCAGTTTGACTCCAGTCTGCATTTGTTACTTTTCTTTTGTTGGATGAGATTAATTTTAATTTAATAATTTTAATAGCGGTCATTTAGAGTGTAAACATAAATCGCTTGATTGATAAAGTGAAATACTTTGTGGTTGAAGCAGACCGTTACTTAAAAGAAAACTGATTGAATAGCGGTCAATTTGTTAGACAGGAGGAAACGAGAAAACGAAATTTAATTTCCTCCCAAATTCAGCTGCTTGTCAGCTTAAATGAAACTTAATGCACAGTTTTAATATTTCATCAATCTACAAATTTAAAAAGTGGTTTGGTCTTCTGTACTGTATAATTTCCCAACATTTGTCACAGCTTAAGTCAAAGTCTTCCAAAAAATAATTGTTGAAATTCGTAAACATATAAATGAATATAGATACATATCATAACTACATATGTTTTGGAATTCATTTACTTATGCATTCAATTGGCATAAGTGCAATTAACAACTATAGTATAAACACTGCCCACATACAGATATATACATACATATATATATATACATAAATGGCAACGTGAGCTGTGACCTAATCACGTTGCCTTCTCTATGGGCTTTTGTGAGTACTACTTGTTTTCGGATTGAGCATCGGCCCAATGACCAGACAATGGCGATAAGGGAAAACTCAATCGTAGAGCAGAGCAGAGCAGAGCTGATTGAAAGTGCGTTGCGAAAGTCGTCTTTAGTCGTTCGTTAGCCATGAAACGCATGTGGTGGTTCAGTGTGGTGATTGCTCGATGCCTGCTCTGGCTGTGTTGCTGTGTGGTGGATGGTCACTTATTGTCGCAACCGGAGGTGGACACACACATGCAGCTGCAGGAGCAGCTCATATCGGAGCATAACGATAGCGCCTACGTACAGCGCGTCATGCGACTGGCCAAGTCCGCTGAGATGCGCAGCTATATGCGGCCGGATCTAGACGCTTGCGAGGATTTCTATGCCTACAGTTGCGGCAATTGGCCAAAGATTAATCCGGCTAATGCAGCCAAGCCGCGCGAGACCAACTTTCAACAACAACTGGCCAATGGCTATGGGCACAAGCAACAACGGCTTCTGGAGCAACCACAGGATGAGGACAATGATGATGAGGCCGTGCTAAAGATAAAGCAATTCTACGCCAGCTGTCTGCGCTTCCGGCAGACGCCGCATCCACGCTATCGGCAACAGCTGCGGGAGATTGTCGCTGAATTTGGACGTATGCCCGTCTTGGAGCGGCAGGATGAAGAGTGGGATCAGGATGAATTCGATTGGCTCTCGACTGTGGCGCATATAAAGCACAAATATGGACTCAATATTTTGTTGCTCCTGCAGCAGGCACCAAATCCACAAAATAAGACTGAGAGTCGTATTTACGTTGGCCAGCCGCCCAAGCTAATTGTGGAGCCGGATCGTGGTGCGGTTGCTCGGAGGATTGCCAGACAGCTGTCGGAGCATCTGAGTGTGGAGGAGACACTGGCATACAGCACAGCCCAGGAAATTGCCCAGCTGGAAATGCTGTTGGCCAAAGGCATGTCAAGTCTTCCAATTGGTTCGCTTGCTCTTCCACGCTCCACAGTGGAGCTGGCATATGGAGACAAATTTAATCTAACACGATATGTGGAACTGGCACTGCATCGTCCACTGCTGCCCGGGGAGACGCTTTACGAGCATGTGGCCAGCTATCAGAAGCATCTGAAGTCCATCGTAACACAGACGCCGCCTCACGTCCTGGCCAACTATATATTTCAACAATTGCTGCAGAGCTTCTACTACGAGCACTCGTCGTCAGTCGTTGCCCACTGCTTGTCCAGAGCCAGGGAAAACTTTCCGGGGCTACTCAATAATATGGCCTATCGGCATTATGGGGATGCAGCCACCCTCAGTGATATTGACTCCGTCTGGCTGCAAATCAAGCGTAGCTTCCACGACACTCTCGAGAGTTCCACGACAGACTGGTTGTCGATTGCGACGCGGAGTGTTTTACTGGAGCAACTGAATGATACACGCCTCCTGATCAACGGACACGCGAATGTGAATTTTTCAGAGCGTTACAGTCAACTGGAGCTAGAGCCGCAGGAATATCTATTGAATATGCGAACTGTGCTTAGCTATAACACTCAGTTTGCCACGCCATTATTTTCGCCCACTGTGCCCATCTATGATGCCCTCGAGAATGTGGTCATGCTGCCTGTGTCGCTGTTGCAGCCAAACTTTTTATGGTCACGTTTCTATCCCCGGGCCCTGCGCTATGGCAGTCTGGGCACAATTATAGCAAATGAATTGGCCCATATCTTTGATCGCAAATATGGTTGGGATGAAGCATCACTGGCTGAATATAGGAATCGCAAAACCTGCTTCAAGTTTCAATATGAACGATTGCGCATTGATGGTGAATATCTGCCACCCACCGATCTACAGGATGGCAATATAGCGGACAATACGGCCGTTCAACTTGCATATCACGCCTATAGGAACTACTTGGCAAATTTGGCACCATCAGCTTTCAAAACGGAGACTCTGCCACAGCTGAGCCACAGTCTGCAGCAGCTTTTCTTCATCAGCTATGCTCAGCTCTATTGCAACGATGCCAACGAGCAGTTTCGGGATTATCAATCACTCCTTGTAGCTGGAACTCCGAATGCCCTCCGTGTTAATGGAGCACTGGCCAACTTTAAAGCATTTTCCAGTACCTTCAAGTGTGCCAACGAGACGCCTCTAAATCCCAGCCGGAAGTGTCTTATGTATGCCATAAGCTTGAATTAATAATATTTATGTTAATAAAGCTTTCATATCCGAATGGGATTACCTTATGCAACTTTGAACAGGATAAAAATCATATATTTATAGATATATCTATATAATTGCTAGATGCAGAAATTGGTAAGATATTAAAGATGGCTTAGTAAATGCTACACTTAAACTCCGGATCCATGGGCGCCTGCTGCGAACAGTTGAAAACCCAGGAGAACTCTTGGAAATTTGACAACGAGCCGATGACACGATACATGCCCGGAGCATGGTTGTCCACAGTTGCCACAGATGTCTTGAACAACGACTGGACATCGTCGCACCACAGCTGAGCATAGCTCACAAAGAACAACTGTCGATTGGTAAGCTCCAAGCCAGCCATAGTCTCCTGCTCGAGGATTGCCGGCGGCTGTTGTTCCAGCCAGCGCAGATAGGCCTTGTAGGCCAACTTGACGCCAGCATTGTCCGCAATGTTCTCCGATTGCTCTATGCTCTCTGGCAGTCGGGATCCGCCGTATTTGTAGCTGTGATACTGAGCCTGGAAGCACTTGCGTCGCTCTTCGAACTCATAGCGTGACTTGTTGTCCCACCAGGGCGCCAGATTACCATTGGCATCATATTTGTGCCCCTCATCATCGAACCCGTGGGTCATCTCGTGCGCCAGCAAATTACCCAGTGTCGCATACTTCAAGGCCTGTGGATAGTTTTTATCCCAAAAGTAGCGTGGCTGCAGCAATGCCACCGGAATTGTAATGCAGTTCTCCAGTATGTTGTAGGCGGGCGTAAAGCTCAGCACATCGGTGGCCTCCAGCGAGGCAGGTGGATTGTGCAACCGTTGCAGCCTGCGCTTAGCCTCCGCCATCAGCACATGTTGCACATTGCGCACATAGTCCGACCTGTCCACAGTAAAATTACCGTACAGTGTCTCAAAATTCTCATTGTCATAGGCGTTGATTTTGAGCTGCATATTGTCTAGTTTTTCAATAGCCAACTGGCGCGTCTTATTCATCATCCAGTCCAGCTTGTCACCTGCCAGCTCCTTGCGGAATGTGTCCCGTATCTGCTGCCACATGCTGTGCACCTCAGCCTCTGCCTCGGGACTGCGATAGCGTTCATATAAAATATGCTCCGCGAGCTTGCCAAAGATCGTCTTGGTTCGCTCCGTGCACCATGTCTGGATTTTGTTGACCGGCACATCAATGCGAAACTCCGTCATCAGCTGCCACAGCACATAGTTGGCGATGGTGGTTGTGGGCGTTGCTTTGAGTGCTTGTAATGTGTTATTCAAACTGCTTTCAGAGTAAATATATATCTCCTCTGGCACATTATCGGGGCCGAGTATTATGCCCAGAAACTCGCTAATGTTCAAATACTCGGCATATTTCTCCTGTAGTTCAGACACCGTGTATAACGTTAGATCATCTTCCAGGCTAGTTCCCTGAAAACCACCCGTCGATAAATTTCGCTTGAGATCGTTCATTTCTTTTGCGGTCTGTTTAGCCATGTGGGAGCTGATGGAATAGTACTTTTGTAGATCCGATGCAGTGTCCGAATCCTCCATGGTATTAGATAAGTAGATTGTCTGCTGGTTGTCTGGCGGACCCAAGTAGATACGATTCACCGTATGATTCTTAATGTCGGCCATAATATCCACTGCCAAAATGATCTTCTTTCCGTATTTTTGCTGTATACCCGCAATGATGCGCCACCAACTAAATTCCGAAGCTTGCCAACTCTCACCCTTGATCAAGGGCAGTTCGCCGTACTCATTGACGATGCTATGCAGCCCAGAATAATATTCGACTTCTCCCGAATGACCTAACAGACAGGATCGATAAAAGCTCTGCAGTTTCTCCTCCAGATTTGATTTCATCGTTCCATGTTGCAATAGTCGTTGCAAGCGGCGTTCAAATCCCTTCGAGATAAGCTGAAACGTGTCTGTCATTAAGTTCCCGAACAGCTGGGCGGGATTGTGACGATGCCAGTTGCCACAAGCGTAGCTGTAGAAATCGTTGCAGGGGTCAATGTTTGTATTCAGCATGCCTTTCATTTCAGCCATCTTGGAATGTCGTATAATCTGCTTTGCATACTCTGTGGTGAGATCATCGCGAATCGCTTCACTGGCGCCGTCTGCCGCTAATGTCAAAACACTGGTAATCAGCAAACAGAATAGAGGCAGCAGCTGCCGGAGAGATCCGTTCAAGCACCGTCCTGGCATGAATCTCGACATCATTTCAACTGAGCAGCTAAAGTGGCTCTGTCTAGCTTTAACGAAATTAGCTTATCATTTTTTTTTCTTTTTATATACTACCAGCCCGCTGGGGTAGGTCAAACAGTTATCGCTTGTGGCGAGAGCGAGCGCCAGTCGGCGCTGAATATGCTTTAATAGAACAAACTAGCCTTAGCTAAGAGGTATATAGAAACCTGATTATGGCTGCTAGTTGAATAGAGTACACTATATTAAATATAACATAATAGTCAATATACATAGACATTTATTTTGTATATTGGCATCTATATGCTTTAAGTATAATCTAATCGAAAAGTTCTTTGCTGTTGCAACTCTCTTATGCTCATGATATTCATTTGTATTTGCAGCCATACCCATATTTTATATACTGGCCATTGTACCGGGTCTAATGCCATGGGACAGTGGCTATAAGTTCCTTTCGTTTTGTCACGTATTCGGCTCGGTGGCGCCTTGGTGCGGCAGTTTCGTCTATCATCTCTTTATGAACATTGAGAAGGGTGAGAATGTTTACTACAAGCTACTCAAATTGGACATGGTTGGCATCTGGGTGAGCCAGAGCTTCGGTAAGTGAGCGCAATCTATAAATAAACACAGCTCGGAAACGGGAAGCATACAAATATATATATATATACTAAATTGAAGGTTTAGTATACATATTTCAAGTACAAACAGAGCTTATAAGTAGAGCTTCTAATCAATTGAAGGGCATCATCAGAAGATAACGCATTTGTGAATGGGATTCATGTGGTCACCCTGCTGGCAGTTGTAGGCCTGAGCAAATCCATCAGAGTTGGCCATAATAGCATAATCTCTGACCTTGTGGGGTGCATGTGTATCGGTAATGGCAACCCAATGCCGTAACGCGGCCCACAAATCCGAACACCAGATTTGCCCCAGAGATAGGAAGAACAGCTGTTCCGGCGTATGCGACATGAGTGGCAATTTCTCCGCTTCCAGCGACGATCGCTCCAGCCAGCTTAGATATGCGGCATGTGCAATGCGGATGGCCACATTATCCGCTATATTCTCGGCCTGTATCTGCATCTTGGTGAGTCGCTCGCCATTGTAGGTAAACCCACTGAACTGATCCATTAGGCACTGCCTGCGCTGTTCGAACTGCTCCGTTGCGTTGCGATCCCACCAGTCCCGCAGATTTCCTTGGCCATCAAAGGTGCGCGATAGATCATCGAAGCCATGGGCCATCTCGTGGGCCATTGAGAAGCCAACGGTGCCATATTTTAGTGCCATGGGATAGACCTCGTCAAAGAAATAGCGATGCTGCATAAAGCTGGTCGGGATTAACACCCGATTGAAGTCGGCCTCATAAGTTGGCGACAAATTTATCTCGTCATAATAATTCAAGCTTGGCGTCTGTTGCAGACTCTCACGCAGACGCTGCGCCCGCAACTCCAGTATACGTTGCACATTGCCAAAGTAGTCATCTGTGCTGATTACCAATCCGCCATAATAGTTCTCAAATTCCGGCGCCTCCGATCCAAGTATGTGAAAACTCATGGCCTTGAGCTTAGCCAGCGCCTCGTCTCTCGTCTGCTCGCCAAGCCAACTGCTGCTTGGCGAGAGGAGAATGTTGCTAAACGCAACTTTCAGCTCCTGCCACAGCTGACGCATATTGCCGGGTATATCGGGATTCTGTTTCTCCAACGAACGGTACACCATGTGATCCACAAAGTCTTTAAATAGTTTTGTGGTCTGCTTCGCACACACCTCATCCTGTTTATCCTGATTATCAGATAACTCCAGATCGTAATCGGTTATCAATGCTGACAGCATAAAGTTGGCAAGAACACGTTTTGGCGTCTGGGTTAATATCTTCTTGACCTGCCAAAAATAGTTATTGACGTACTCGTACACTGGCAACTGATAGTCGTGCTTCAGCCAGAGTTGGACAAATCGCGTGAGATTCAAGATCGGGCCATAGCTATCGTTCATATCATCCAGCAGGCGCATGCGATTCATCTGATCTGGTGGCAACTCCTCCCGCGGCTCAATTTTGCCGCGTGCCAGCTCCACATTAATTTTGTTTATTTCAGCAGCTGTTTCATGTGCACTTTTCTCACTCAGCCCGAGCAGCTTTCCCAGTTTTTGCTTCAGTACCGCTTGGCTGAAAGCAATGATTTTGCTGCTGGGCAAATCATCCCGTTGGCCCAGATATAGGCGATTGTTCTGACTGTTGACCAGCCCCGGTCGTACCTGGACATTCAGCAGCGTTGCCTTCCCATAACGATTCATCAGACGCGCCATCATTTCAATCGGGTCGAACATGGACTCATTCCAGGCACTGCCCTCCAACGCTGGCAGGCCACCAAACTCTTTGAGTATGCTCAGCAAATGGGGGCGTTGAGTCAACCTAAGTGTTGTTGTGTTCAGGCAGGACTCGTAGAAATACTTGACCCGCGTCTCTGTGGGGCTGTCATTGCTCATCTTTGGCTCCTTGAGCAGCTGGCGCAAGCGACGCTGATAGCCCTCGTTCAGTGTCTGAAATATGTCTTTATTGTACGTTTCCTCTGTGGCCGCATCGATCAGGTTAAATCTACCGCACGCATAGCCATAGAAATCATCGCACGGCGCCACACTCGTATTCATGAAGGATTTCATGCCAGCGGCCTTCGCGTGCCGCATAATCTCATGTGCTAATGGTGTATTGATATTCAGTTCCTCGAATATGGCAGCAGCATAAACCACAGCTGGCACAGCCACCAGCAGCAGCAGCAGCAAGCTGAAGGAAGCGAAAATAGTAGCTCTCATCTTGCGTTGTTTCAATGGCAATAGTCTATTTACAACTGATACTTCGGTTAGCTTCGGTTGATGAGGCTTATTAGTTATTGAGACGAAAATTTCGACTTCGGCTTTGACATCTAATGTCTCCCAAGCAATTATTGCTCTCTTTTTTTGTTTTAGGTGCCTTGCCTTTGGTCACGGCGACAACGCTGTGCTTTCCTCCAATTCTCAAGTGGTTCATCATTATCTCATACTGTCTGCTCTCGCTCTGGGGGCTCTATAAGGTAAGATAGACATGTGTGTTTCTAAAATATTTGTAGAACCTTATCTTAATGTAGACTGTTTAAATTGTATTAAATGTAAATATTGACAAGGTTTTGAGCATACAATTCTTGCTGTCTTTTTGAAGAACATATATTTTTATTTTAAACACTTTGAATTTAATTTTTTTTTTTAATAGTAAGTGTTATTTTATAATCAATATTAAATATAATGTTTTGAATGGAAAGAGTTTTGAATATTAGAATTATGAATATTATGAGACTAATGCATTCTAATTAAAGCAACAGTTGTGTTACATTAACGTAAATCAGTTTAGTTCCATCTCTGCTTTTATTATAATTTTCATTCAGTTTAGCTTTCCAATACCATTACTCAAGTCTGGTATTTGATTTTAACTGCCCTCAATCGTAACGCATCTCTTGCTTTGCAATTCCATCTATTTTTTCATAATTCTCGAATATATTTAGATATTCACACTTGATCCTTGTATTCAACAGGCCTTGACCGCTAGCTCTCCGTGGCAGAGACGCCTTTGCTTTGCGCTACCCTTCGCTATGCGCTCGGTGTTGACCTTTCTGCGCATACGGGGAATGGTTGGCGGCAGTCACATGGCCCTTTCCCATGTCTATCTGCAGGTGCGTATGTCGAGGCATTCCAATTGACTAACTTGCTATTTTTACCAAATATTTTTGGCTGGCCTGTGCGCATACTTACTTAGGTTGAAGTTGTAAGTGATATTTTTCATTTCTCATACCTTTGTACACCTACATATGCATATGGACTAAGTGTAAGACTAGGCCGTATGCAAACAGATATGATATGGTGTTGTACATTGAACACCAACAAATACCAACAGATACCAACAAATACCAAAGCATATCAAAATTGTACCCTCGCTAATGCATGATTCTTCCACTTTATATTGTTGGATCGCTTCAGGATGGTGTTTCTATATTAGGCGGTGCTATCGGCGCTATGCGCATTCCTGAAAAGTGGTTCCCAGGACTTGTTGACTTCTATCTCAACTCGCACAACATTATGCATGTACTGGTCGTTGTGGCTGTCTACTCGATGCATAAGGTGCATTCCATTGCGATATTTAAATACACATAACTTTTGAACTCAGCTTCTTTTTTTTTTCTTGAACAGGCCACAATCAAGGACTTTGAGTGGATGTCCACTCAGACATGTAACTCGATGGTAAATGTCACCGAACATTCGCTTGGCCACTTGGACCTATGACCCGCTTGCTGGCTACTTCTATTTCTGCTCCTCTCACTGCTGTTCCTGCTACGGCCTCAACCAGAGCGTGCCCCAATCAAGTGGAAAAGCAAGGGGCATGCGCATGCTGACTAGACAAAAATGAAAACGTTAACAAAAATGAAAAAAAAATAACAGAAAAATAATACAAATAACAGATAGAAAGCAATGCAAACAAAATGCTTCAATTGCTACTCGAATATACCGTGTATAAAATGAGCGCGTGCTGTAACAGTAACAATAAGAATATAAGTATTTAGTGAATAGTGAAACATATGTACATATATATATGTATAATTAGTACATACTTCGACTGTGGTATTTAGTATTAAGGTAATATGATGATACATACTAATGTATTATTATGGACGCGCTTTCAATTACAACTTCTATGCGCGATTTTCATGCAGAATCTCTGAGTACTATATGAGCGATAATTTCAATGATGTTGATACATATGTACCTCATTATGCTTACAACAACAACAACAACAACAAAAACACAACAAAATAAAAATCTAATTTTCAAATATAACTTTGTACCTCGTCGACTATAAAACGAAAACGAAATTTAAGCAATAAGAGAATAACAAAAACGTACAGTTAATCTACAAATTCTTCCTAGTTGAATTATTAAGATATGAAATTTGTTTATTTGAAATGCTTAGTATTAGATTGAATTGTGAAAAACAAAACTGAGCCACTAATGCGTGTTTTGTGCCATTAGTTAGATGTAACAATTGGACAAGTGTGAACAAAAATCTTCAAGCTAAAACGCTGCTGAATCGAATTAATATAACTTCCTAACGCCTAAGTTTAACCAACTTATCTAGCAAATGATTAAACTCTCCTCAAATTTTATTTGATCAAATTTCCCTAGGTTTTTAAGAGACAGATCTAGAATATAAAAATTATAATACGGCAAAGTATTTTTATCCAAAAGATGGAACAATTATGAATAACTAGCTTTTAGTAGTTTCAATAATTTACACCACGCCCTTTAAAGAGAAAAGCATAAATAACAAATGAAACCAAATCAAACAAATTTAGATGAACAAAAGCAATAAAAACATATTATATTAATGCTTGTAACAAGTTGTAACTATACTGTAAGGAGCAATTATAGCAATAATATTATACATACAATATATATGATTTTCCGAGAAAGTTAATAAACATTACACGCGTATAAAATGAGAATTGAATTAATTACAATTTATATATAAACTAATTTGTTTAAATTGGGGGGAAAAAATAAACATTTCACAGTTAGCATGTTTGAAGCGGGCGCTCTACGACCTTTCCGTTATAATACTAGAAAGCAAAGCGAAAACAGAGTTGAATATTGTGGTATTCATATAAAATATCAAATAAAAAGAGTGACCGTATATGTTTGGGATTATACCATATAATCGAGTTGGCAGCACCATTTTGGCAAGAGCTACATTGCAGTTTGTTGTTTCACATATTTCCTGCGATTTTAAGAGATTTTTCTTAAAAGAACGTCATATAAACGAACAGAAATAAAAATGAGCACGCAAATATCAGTGGCCGAGAAAACGGGGACAAAATCGGCTAACTTCTTTGCGCTGCAGACGGCCTTTGAGGTGAGAATGAGAGACGCTGTCGGCCGCATGAAGCATAAAGGGACACCGGTAAATGTATTTTTTGTTGTGGATGTTTGTAGAGTGTCCTGGAACAGGCGATAGCCGAGAACAATGTGGAGCTGTTGGTGAAAGAGTACCATGGCTTTGGCGCCAATTCGGAGCACGACAAACGTTCGCCAATGGATCAAGCGTTTCGGGAGGTGCTCATGAAGCGACTCAGCGACGATATTGAACATATTGGAACGCTGGTGCGTCTCTCTGTGGAGGCAGCGCGTGCCGAGATTGTCTCAAACACGATACCAGTGGTGCTGCTCGGCGACACCTTCGATGTGATCACGTTGAACAAGTGCGAGCTGATTTTCAAGTTTGTGGAGGAGCTCGTTGAGGTCTGGAAGGAGGAGATCTTCTTTGCCTCGTGCAAGAACAATTTGCTTCGCATGTGCAACGATCTGTTGCGCCGTTTGTCCCGCACACAGAACACTGTTTTCTGTGGGCGCATTTTGCTCTTCCTCTCCAAGTTCTTCCCGTTCTCGGAGCGCTCTGGATTAAATATTGTATCGGAGTTTAATTTGGATAACTACACCGAATATGGGCTGGATAGCAAAGATCACGATGAGATTGACAACAAGGAACTGGAGGATACTGCTGAGGATATACCACTTAAGATCGACTACGATTTGTACTGCAAGTTCTGGTCGCTGCAGGACTTCTTTCGCAATCCAAATCAGTGCTACAGCAAGGCGCAGTGGAAGATGTTCCAAATGGTAGCTTAACACATCAAATCAGTTCATTTCCTCATCGCATAATTTTTTATATTTGCATTTGCAGCATGCGGAGAATATTCTACAGTCGTTTTCCAGCTTTAAGCTGGAGGATGTGCGTCCGAACAATGACTTCAATGGCAACAGCGACACGGGCCCCCAGGCAATGGATGTGGATATCGATGCTCAGGCCATGGATGCCGTTGCAACGCTCGCCGTGCGCAAGGAAAATCATTTCTTTGCCAAGTTTTTGACCAATCCAAAGCTGCTCGCTTTGCAGTTGTCCGACTCGAATTTCCGACGAGCTGTGCTTGTGCAGTTCCTCATTCTCTTCCAGTATTTACAGGTCAGCGTCAAGTTTAAAATGTGAGTGTGCCAAACTATGCAAACATCTACGCTTTGTGCAGATAATGATATCCGATTTATATCGCAGTGATACGTATACCCTGACGAGTGCACAGTCTGATTTCATCAAGGAGACGGAACAGCGCGTTTACAAACTGCTGGAGGAGACGCCGCCTTACGGCAGACGTTTTGCCCGCACTGTGCTCCATATGCTGCAGCGCGAGGAGATGTGGAACAATTGGAAAAACGATGGATGCAAAGAATTCAAAAAGCCTGAAGAGCCTGAACCCAGCCAAGATGACTCGAAACCCACGCCTGCCAAACGCTCCAAGCGCCCATTGGGCGATTGTCTGCGCGATGCGGCACGGAACGGCAAGTTCTACCTTGGCAAGTAAGCAAACCAAAATCGTGTGCGGCTTCAATGTGTTCAAGTGGAATCAATTATTTTTAGTGACACTTTGACGCGCCTGTGGAACTACTCGCCCGACAATTTGCAGGCCTGCAAAAGTGAGCAGCGCAACTTTCTGCCGCTGCTGGAAACATATTTGGAGACAACGCATGATAAGAGCGATCCTGCATTCGAGTGGCGTGCACTGCGCCTGTTGGCACGCCAAACGTCGCACTTCTTCACCTTCATCTCGCAGCCGTCGTGCAAAATCTCCGACTATCTGGACGTGGTGCGCAAGCGTCTTACTCGCGAAAAGGAGTTGGTTAAGCAAACGAACACGGCATCTGCCAATTCGTCGGAGCATAATAATGGATTGGCTGTCAGTAGCCAACCATCGGAAAATGAACAGGAGGCTGCAGTTGCCTTGCAGGATAACATGCAGGACCTGGAGGTGGAGGACACTGAGCCCGTCGTGGAGGATGTGGACGAGACGCCAGCTCATGAGAAACCGCTGATGGTCACTCGTGCCCACATCGAAGAAATAACGCCGCTAATAGGCGAGCCCTGGATGAAGGTGGGCAAAAAAATTGGCTTCACCAATGACGAGCTGCTCTTCTATCAAATGGAGAATCCCACCGCTGCCGTTGCATGCACAAAAATGCTTACCAATTGGATTTCGGACGATGATGATGCAACGCTAGAGAACTGGGCCTATATGCTGGAGGGCCTGGAGATGCACAAGGCGGCCGATGCCATCAAGGCGATCATTGAGCGTGAAAAGACCACCACAACGCAAACACTGTCCCAGTCCCCGCCGGATACTACGGACGACGTCGAAATCCTATCCGACTAGCAAGGCCAAATGACAGGCTTAATACTTTAATGCTGTTTATATTCATCAATTCGTTTTATCACATATAATAAATGGGCATATCAAGTGACCCAAATTTTAGTTTAACGCTTCTTCACGGGCGCCAGCGGAGTGCTTCGACGTGGCTTATTGTGGATCATGGTGGCACAGCGCGGAATGTGCCGCTCGGCAGCCTGCTGATTGAAGCGTCTACCACAATGCGGACACTGTATGTAATCGGGATTCTCTGAGGGCGGCGGCGGTGGCAAATCGCTCAGCTTACCGCCGCGTGCCAAATGAGCCTGCACTTTTTTAGCAGCTCGGATTGCCTCGATGAACTCCTCATGCTTCTTGCGCCAGTTGCTCTTCTTGACACTAGTGCGCAGACCCTGCTGCTGTGCAGCACTACTGTATGTGGACTGTGTGCGACTAACGCCCGGCTTCTGTTGCTTGGTGATCTTCTCGGCGTCGGTGCCCTTGACACGCTGCTTGGACGCATCGAATATCCGGCGTTTGGTGTTCATTGTGCGTTGGCACACCTCCTCGTGCTTAGTCAAGCGATCAGTATTGAAGTGGCGGCCGCAGAAGCGACAAGTTTGCATGCCTTCCGGCGGTTGAGTGTCCTAAACAGGCATCCACAATGAGTATAACATATAACATTTGCGCATTTGTTTAGTCATGGACCATACTTACCATTTGAATTTTGGTAACTGGAGATTTTGGATTGATCTAAATGATAGAAATGGAACGTTAGCTTTGAGCATTCGAACGAAGCCAAGTTGATCAAAACTCACCTGACGCGGTGTAGCACGACTTTTTTCTGTCACTGCAACTCGTCCAGCTGTCGGACGAGAAACTGATGTCACTGGCATTGTGGTTGATCTCATTGTCTTGGCTCTGGCGCTGCTTGCCGGCGTGGAAGTCGAGAGCATTTGTCCATCTGGCTGGTCCCTTATGGGTGGCGTTTTGCGCGTTATCACTGGCTTCAGGCGATTCGCATTGGTCACCGTGCCGGATGCATTGTATTTGCTGTTGTTGTTGTTGCTATCACTGGTCATACGCCGGCCAGAGACTGGTTTCTCCTTAAGACTCATTGCGGATAGGCCCTTAATGAGCTGCTTCTGCTGCTGTTGTTGCGGCTGACGCGTTTCCCCGATGGGCTTCAGCGGATTGCTACGATCGATGCCAGCGCCACGACGCCGCTCGTCAAACATTTGACGCACTTTGCCATTGCCGATGACCCGAGTAGAAGCGGCACTGGGCATGGCCGTGGCAGATTGGGTATTGTGAAGCTCTTGGCGTCGCTGCTCCTGCTCCTCCTGCGTCTTTTGCTGGAAGCGCATCTGAAAAAGCAAGAAAAATAGTGAATATAGCGGTAATTTTTACCAGTCAATTCGACAAAAATGATCGGATTTGCTTGATTACTGGTGCTGAATTGCTGTTGTTCTCGTGGTGATTGGGAGGAAGATGACTGAGCGCCTCCAAGAGACGCCTGGCCGCCCACGATTCGTTGAGCTTAAGCGGCATTATATGATCTTGCATATACCCCGACTCAATGTCATAGTATCCATCGTTTTCGTTTTCGCCCGTAAGCGACATGTTCTTGTTCTTGCTCGTGCGAGGCGCGCGTGTCGACTAAAGTCGTACGTGGAACTGGACACAAGCATGTCCATTTCCCCCGAGTGGTAATTACGTGAATGTGTGCATATAGGTATTAGTCAGTGGGTGGTTTGTCTATTCAACGTGCTAGCCCTGAGCAAACGATGAGCCACCCTGCCACCACCCCACAATACAAATCTCGAGCACCCCACTTACATGCCGCCAATACATAAAACCACGAGCCACACGACTCGCTTGGGCGAAGCCCACTCTGGCGGTTGTCGCTGCTGGCGTATTGAAATAGTTGGGAGTCGCGGGCATACTTTCTCCTAATGGCCAATCACTGTGTATTCGTTGTGGGCAGCCATGGCCAGCGTCTAACAAAGGGCGACGCAAAGCAGAAGCCGAAGAAATTGAAATTTATTTTCCTTTCTATTATTGAGCAGTTGAGAATTCAGCCTGGCTGCCACTTTGTATGCTTTTACAGCTGTTGTTGTTCTTGTTGCTGTTGTTGTTGTTTGGTTGTTGTTGGTGTTGCTGTTGCTGCAAGCCAATAACAAAAATCAATGGCTGCAACGCTGCCCCAGAAGGTTGCCATGGAGCAGGGCGACCAGGCGAGAAACAACAACAAAAATAAGGATTTTGTAAAACTGGTGCGGACTGAAAGAGATGGATGGCATTTGTTGCACACGGACATAGAGACGAATACTTTGAAAAGGTGACAAAACTCATGGGTTTGCCCCCGTCTCAAAAGGATTGTCCCCGGCACCAGGTGCCGCCCCAATCAGTGATACAAGTCTCGTGCAACAATTTTCGAGCTTGTTTGGTTGATTGTGTGGGTGTTTTATACTTGTTTACAGACACGGATTCTTATTGGCCATGGATTGCACTCGACAACGTTATAATTTACATAGGGGGAATCCTAATATTAAGTATATGCTAATCTACACAAATCGTATTTAGGACAGTGTAAAAGTATTGCTACAAACTGAATAATCTTATCGTACTAATTGCCTTTTGATCATACACTGCGCGTATTAATATTTGACTGACTGCCTTAGCAGATTTCAAATAAAATATGATGTTTATTGTACATCTACATTTGTATGTATATTTCCAAATGATTTATATATGTATGCAGTGTTAAAAATAGTAGAGCGATTCAAAAAGTTCATGTTTATATGAGGAACAGTAAAGAAAATAGGAAATAGCTAAGGTCATGAAGTTCAAGTATTTCAATTCACTGTTAATTATTATAATTAGCTTAGATAAGTCAAATGTCAAGGAACTTAACTGGAACACTGTTTGTCTTTCAATCATACTTTTAGTAACTAATTATATTATTGTAGGATATTGCCAAGGCATTCTACGCAAATTATGAAATTATGTGATTAATTCTTTCTTTTATTTACTATTATGCCATTGTGTTCTTTGTGACCAAGTTAAGTGAATTATATTTGGGGTCTTGCCATGTCTTAAAACGTTCCCATTACCAAATATGAGCAAGAAAAAAAAACTAGAATAAATTAGCGGACATTTCGCTGGGAAGCTTTAGTAAACAACTAATGATGAGGCTGATCTTGACAAGAGCATCACACATCAAGTCAAACCGTATATGGAGCGATACGGAAATTGACTGTCACACCGATTACCAAAAATGGATGGCAGCGAGTAATTAATTAATGGTCAGTGGTCAGAGTGGTTTGAAGAGACGCCTTTCGTGTGTTTGGCACGCTTCCTGTTAAACTCCACGACTTACCCGCATTTGTCCCAGCCTTGAGGTTGGGTAATCGCCGGCATCTTGTGACGCCATCACCAAATTAAGTTCGCTCTCGCAAATTGAGTCCCCAGTCTCTCGTCTCGTCTGTTTGGTGTGGGCAGCAGTCGTCTCGACACTAGCGATGACGCAGCACGGCTGCTTGGCGAGTGTGAGTGTAGACCCGGCTTTGAGTCTCTGGTGAGTCACGCACAGTTGTCTAAGATTGTCGCTGTCTCGGTGTGCCTAAAAATAGGTGGATAAAACAAATACAAAAACGGAGACTGTTTGAGAAACAAGCAGCTTATGAGCAACTGTGAATGTCGCCAGGAGGCGTCAATGGAAACAGGGTGCGATTTGTTGCTCAACATGTTTTGATTGTGTGTGTGTGTGTGTGTGTGTGGGCAGCATCTGGAAGCCGAAGATCAAGTCGAGAGATCGAAGTGGCAGCCGTACCCAGTTACCAGCAGCAACAGCAGCAGCCGCCACACTGTGGGCCGTGGGCCGTCTGCGACATTCAGTTGCTCCAAAAATGGGCTTCTCAATGAGCAAATTAATTGAATTGTATTTTATTCGCTTACCAAATTGTATGAATTGCGATTAACATCAACAGATCCAATTCAATAAATGTGTTTCTGAATATATAAATATGTGCATGCACCTTTGTATATATGTGTACATATATTTATATAAAACAATACCTTACAAATCGATTATGTAATGAAATACTGTCTCGATAAGTATGAAAATATTGTTAAAAAATCATAGGATCTGCTTGTTTCGGAATTTTGTCTTTTTTTGTGTGAAGCTTAACATTTGATATGAAAATGTCAACTGACTAGTCAAAGCAAACTAAGTATTAAAGAATATGATTAAAAAATAAAAGCAGCAAATAGATTTGGAAATATGCATCAATAAAAAACAGTAACAAATAACTTTTTAGATAAAGAACTTTTAAAACTGCATATATAAAATATGCTAATAATCAAATAATCAAATAATTTGTAATAAGAAAGTTGACAGAGATGATGACACCTAAAATCATAGTCGATATACAAATTTAAACATGACTCGATAATAAGCTAAGATTGGGTTGCCAGCGTAGCTTAGCGTATTGACTAGTCGCCCACAGTCAACACAAACAAAGCAATTAATTTATGTTCATTTTTTTTTGGCACACGTTCGAATCTAACTGTTTGTGTGTGCGTGTGTGCGTGTGTGCGTGTGTGCGTCTATGGTTTGAGTGTGTGCTTGCTTTGTGTGTGTTGCTTTCGGTCGGCTGCGCCAAGTGCTTTGATTTGCATATCGCTGAAGCTAAGCAACTTACCAACTATGCGCTGACTGCGATTGTGGAATGTTTGCAACGAGTGTGGCGCGCGAGGAGGAACAGGCGACGAGCTGAGCCTGCTGGTCAAACCACGTCAAATGGCACACGAGTTTATTGACACACCAAAACGATTGCGACTTTAACGATGGCTGAACTTTTCAGCTCCGGCTGCAAAGTGGGACACAACACGATAGAATAGGGCTGGGCTGGGCAGGATAGCGTTAGTTGGTCAAAACTGACAACGGCAATTACGCATACGTCGCGTGTGACCGGGTCAAAATAGAAAACAATGGCTAAGCAAAATCTGTGACAGCCGTAACACCGCTTGGACTGTTTAGTTAGAAGTTTACCAGCTGACTGAGGCCAGATTGTGGCCGCACAAAAAGCCAGCCAAAGCGGAGCGTCAGCCGAACAAGTTGTGAGCAACCGGCTGCGGCAGAGGCAGTGACAGAGGCAGAGGCATTAGCTGAGGCAGAGCGAACGCTGTGGCTGCGTCTGCGGCTGCGGTTGCTGCTGCGGCTGTCATTGCATTGATCAGTCAGTCGATGAGGCGGACAATGACGGTGTTGTATATAGCGGGTGTAGGGGTGTGGAAGCAGCCCAAGTTTAAAATAAATAAAACTAAAATGTGCGTGCTTCATTCCACAAAAACATATATTTATCGTTCAATTGTTGATTTCACTATCGTTGTTGTTGTTGGCTTTCAATTTCAGCATTTGCTTTCCATCAATGTTTGACTCACATTTGATTAAAGTCTTTAAGCAAGACTCGTACAGTTTCCAATTACATTTTAAGCAGCTTGTCGCAACAAACTTTAAACATAATTAATCATACATACATATACATATATTACTCAAGTTTTTTTTTTGTATACCCTTACCCTCACAGAAAGTTAGTTCCAATTTTGAATCGACTTGGCACAAACAATTAGTCAATAGAACTGCAGCCAATTATGTTTTGAAAGCGTATAAGTAAAATACTTTAATCGACATATTTAAAAAGTATCTTTGTTTAAATTATTAGGAGATTTTAGATTTGTTTTCTCAAAATAATGTGTGCTGAAGAGGTTTAGGGTTTAAGTGCATTCTGCAAGAGTATTAAGACTTTGGTGTTTAGGAAGCTGCTTTTTATGATATTGCTCACTTTGCGTTGTTTTGCTCATCATTTGTTTATATAATAATTATTATTCATTACTTTTCATTTGTTTAGCTTTACTGCGGTTTTGAAACCTAATAAGTGCGCGCCTTCTTCGTTTGTGTTATTTTTTGTTTCTCTTCAAGTTTAGTTTAAGCGAGTTATTATCATCACTTCTCTTTCATAATTTTTGTATTCGTCATGTATGCATAAGCACAATAATAAAATTCCGAATTATATATTTAACTCAAATGTGAGTTGTGAGTATTCGTTCGATTGCCGTTCCTTTGTCTTGCTTGTTGTTCTTTTCTTTTTCGAGTTTGTGGCTCATGAATATATTTTGTTTTTTAATCTTTTTCACACATTCAAGTATACGCAAATATGTATATGATTAAAAATATAGACACCTTGTATGCATGTACATACATTTAATTTAGCAGCTTGATAATAATAGTAGTTACTTTTGCCATAGTTAAATCGTCTTTGCCAGAATAGCCTTCAATAGTGTGTGAAATGAATAAAAGAAGCAAATTAAAAGCAGATTTGTTATGTAGTTTAAGAGTAGCTTAAATTGTCTTTAATCCATACCCAATCTATGGCAAAAGTAAGATATCTATTCATAGTTCGGCCCGCCGAATTTAGTCTCTTTTAGTATCGTCTACACATAAACATCTATGTATGTACGTACATATTATGCTCCCATTTCTGGATAGTAAGCATTTCACTCATATTAGAGTCAATTGATTTACTCTTACTCTCTGTGGTAAGGATCTATGGATCTATTGTATATGTATAGTTGTATATGCTGTTCGGTAATATGCTGCTTACATTGACTAGTGCTGTATGAATACTATTTGCATTTTGGCAAAAATCAAATACAAAGTTTACAGCGATTACGTTTACGAATACAATTATAAATATACACATACATAACACTCGAAGCCGTTACATTACGTTACACATACGAGTTCGGGTAGTTAACTATGACACGGCAACATCAACATCAACAGCAACGACACTGGCAGCTGACAATAAACAACAACAATTACTTACTCTACTCTAAATACTATGCGAGCCGTGCACTGGCCATGGCGTCGTATACGTAATGCAGCAGTGCTTCGAAACAACGTTTGCCTTGTCTACTACTCCTGGCTGGCACTTTCCTCGCTTGTTTCGTTCGATTTGATTTATTATATCTAAAATATATATTTTGGGTGGCTATTCTTACATCAAATACAAATGGTACACAGTTCAACTATGTGACTTTCCACCGTTTCATATGCAGCAAAAATTATAAATTATAAATTTGGCCGTTTTAAAAAACATTGAAAATTCATTTGACGTGTACAATTGGTCTACAAAAAATGTACATACATATGTGTATATCTAAAGTATAAATGTTATTTGCATTTTTCATAAATTTTCTTGAACTGTTGCGTGTTTTTTAATAAAGATTATAAAATATGTTTTTGCAGTAAACTATGAGCGGAGGATTGAAGTACACAGTATATATTAATATACTTATTTATGTACCATATGTATAATTAAAACCTGACCATTGAGCTCTTCAATAAACAACTGTCGTTATTCACTTTAGTCATGGAGTTCTTGTGCGATGCTTGCGGCTACTTAACACTTCCTTAGATCCTAGTACAGTTGCCACAAATAACTCCGATTGGACGTGCCTGCGCTCGTCCCTATCAATTTCAATTTGATGTTCGATAACGATTTCGATTATTATTATAACTATTACGATTACTAACCAAATGCAAGTCATCGCAAAGCCTATTTCTGTTTCTGTTTTTTCGATTTTTTTGTTTTATTATGATTTACTTCATTCTTAATAACCGTGATTGTCGAAGTTGGTTTTGTTTTTGTTGTTGTTGTTGTTTTTTTTTTTTTTTTTTCTTATTCATTATGGTATTCAAAATTATAAATTTAACAATTCATGCAATGTTCGTTCTTCTTCGCTTCTCGACAATGAAATTACATTCAATTACATATAATTTATTTGGGCTACACTTCAGACTACAAGATAATGCTGACGATAAACTCGATCGCCTGCCTATAAGCACATCGCTCAGTTGTCGCTGCTTTTAACTACTTATAAAGATACATTTCTAAACATTTTAAAGCCAACATTCAATGCGCTCTAATTTAACGTCTATACGACAATTGCTTAAGTCTTTTAGTCTACATTACTTTAGGGGGTTTTTTTTTTTTGTTTTTTGTTTGTTTTGTTTTTTTCTTCTTTCTTAGTACATATAACATTTATAAACTTGTATCTGTGTGTCGTGAATAAGTGTATAACGGTAGCTTCTTTAACTAAGGCTGCTTGGGTTCAGGTTAAGGTTTCTGTTTGTGCCTGTTTTTATCGATTAATATCGATGCCGATAGCTACAATACAATAAGCCGCGATGGATTTGACTTTGGCTGCATTTCGGCTTTCGTCGACTCTTTGAAATAGTTATACATACTTTTGAATATAGTTTAACATACATACATACATACATGCATATGCTAGGCATTGCCTACCGCTATTATTCAAGTACATACATATACACACTTATTTATTTTGAGCTACATTTAGAGGGCATACGGTGTTAAGTACTAACTTCATATGCTGAGAGGCAAGAAATTTCTTGTTACCCGTATTTTATTGTTTTGCTATTGAACTATTTTGCAACATTATGAAAACCTGCACATTATTTGTGAGTATGTATATTACACAAAATGTTTGTTAATATCTTTGGCTTTCAACAATTCTTGAAGGTATACTTTCTCTCGAAAGACACTTTTGACTTATGCTAACATTTAATTTCTAAACGTTCTTGTTTAAGGTTTCCGTAGCGGCGTTTCTTCTCCCATTTCTGCGCTCGAGCGCTCAAAAATGTTCAAATTTGACAAATTCAAATGCGACTTTTTCAAGTGGCTTTTTTTGAAATTATTCTAAATTCTAAATGCTTGATGAGTTGGTTGAAATGTCCGTTTGAATAAGCATCAGGCATTTGGAATGAAGGCCCCTGATATATTGTATATTTATACAAAAATTAATGTTACCAAAATTCGTCGGTAAATATCTGTACGTAACAAAATATAGAATCGGAATGTCAAACAAAAATGTTCTGTATTTAACCATAAAGAAATTTGTTTTTTTTAGGCGATATCCTAAATATTTTGAATAATGTCAGGTGCTTTCATTCTAAACATTAGAAGTTATTGAACGCTTCTTGCTTATCTTGTTAAACGGTGGATAATTGATGCATGTCTCTGCATTGATCCTTATGTGTAAATACATATACATTTTTTTTGTTATTCTTTTATTTAAATATTTGCGGTCAATTTAATTCTGTTTATTTCATAAACTTTACTTTATCAGTACGGGTGGGTTTTGTGTTTCTATTAACTTCTCCGGCTGGGAGTGCTTGGGGTTCTCATTTGCGCATTACAACTAGGGTTTACTCTGTAGTATGTGTGTATATATTAAGTTTAACCTGGTTTTCCTCTTGCTTTTGTTGGGCCATTACATTCCATTGCAAAACTTGTCGCCTTTATATACCAAACTATAAAAATGCTGTATGTGAACATAGCCAGCATGTACACTACACAATTACAAATAACATTTATCGATTTTACTTAAGTAGCTGCGCTATAAAATTTTTTAAAAATTGCACACTAAAGGCGCGTACATAACACAATTGTGATCATCGACGTCGAAAATGTGTAAGGGAATTGTTATAAAATGCATAAAAAGTTATTTAAGGTATTCAATATGTTTTTTCTTCCGTTTCCATGAAAATAGTATTACCTATTCACTGGCGAGCTGCAGAAAACTTTTGTCAGTGATTTTTGAAACTGATAAAAGTTCTTCCTCTGTGCATTGCTGTGTGTCGGTGGCTTCTGTGTGTGTGTAAGTAAGTGTGTCTGTGTGTGTCCGAGTGTGAGTGCGTGCATGTGTGCGTTATGTGCAATGCATTTCAGATACATCATTTGCCATATGTTGCACACACATACACACAGACACACAAACCCACATTCACATATACATATAACATGCGATTAATTATCATTTCGGAAATTAATTCAATGTGTTACGTTAACTTGGATTCTACACGTTAATTAGCACTCTAACAACAAACACAAACACCAAACACAATCCAAAACACAAACATACGCCGCTAACATAATAATACATACATATGTGTTACGTATACTTATTCATCCAGATGCGTATACGCAACGTGACTTTGCCAACACACACACACACACACATATATATATATATACACACATATACTGCATATGGTATACATATATATATATATATACATATCTGTATATAGGTCGCTATATCCATGTTTATATTAATAACAACGCCTAACAACGGGACACAAACAGCTTACTTTGCCATTCTACAAAAGCGATTACAATTAAATTCTCGCAATCCTCTATAATCTAATGCAACTCGACGTCATTAAATATTTCCCTTATTTCTTTGTTTTTTGTTTATTTTGTACGCCGTGCGCTTTGGGTGGGTTCGACTGCTGCTTGGAATGGCAACGTTGGGGTTCTGTTTTGAGCTGTGAAATTAGAATATGAAATCGCCACAGTCCATGGCATAGTCAAAGTCCTCGCCGCCCAGATCATCAACTCCCGTGGAATGGAAATCGAAGCCGCCAATATCGGTGTGATAGACGGCGCCGCTGCACGACGTATCAATCAGATTGGTGCAGTGCGTCGTGGGTAGTGCGTGAAGCGTAAACGTGTCCTCACACTGCGACCAAGTGAGGCCGCCACTCCACACCCCGTTGGGCAAAGTGGCCCAGCCCCAGCCGTGTCCCCAGGGCAGAGCACACGCCAGCGATGCCTTCGAGTCCGGCTTCTTGCTCAATATAGCCACAGCCGCATCGCTTTTCACCAATGGATTCTGGCTATACAGCAGGCGTTGGGTAGTCAAAGCTGCTGAAGAGGTGCGGTGATGTCTGCTGCTGCCAGAACCGGCCGATTTTCGTTGCTTCACTTCAGAGTTTGTAGCCGCTGGGGTTGCAGAATAGGACAGCGTCCGCTTAGTGGAATTATGCAACTTTCGTACGTGGAACTTTCATACTTACGTCTAATGCGGACAAGTGGACGCCGCAGCACATTCATCAGATGCGGCTTATCGACCACCAGTTCGATTTGCGGCGGTGGTGGCAAAGTTTTTGTGATGGCATCAATCCAGTCGCTTACCTCTTGCTCGGACTTGGCCAGCATCCAGTAGACCTTGGAGCGCTTTCGACGCGACCCGAGCGCAATAAGCTGCGAAACGCTGACGCCATCGGGCAATGGGGGACGACGTGGTATCTGACCGGTCCAGTGTGCGATGGCGAGCATCTCGGGAGCCTCCTTGACCAGTATCTTGCCAGATGGCGACGAACGTCCTGGTTCCGTGAACCAAGCCATGGTCGAGTCATCATATAATATTACCCACTCCTCCGCCCATCGATTCCATAACATTTGTTCTGCAAACAGAATTTATCAAAATATGTTCGTGTTTTTTCCCAACTTTATTTTTTCTCTACCTAACAGCCTCTGCAAGATACACGATATTTAATTTAATAAATAATTGAAGCACTAATACATATTTATATACCTAATATTTGAATGCTCCGTTATAATTGATAAAGAAGTTGGATTAGTTATGTATTACCTGTATTATAGAATTGTATGTATATTTGTTTAACTGAATTTCCTAAGAGGCCGGAAGACTTTAGCTCTTTAGTATCTAATCAATAGCCACAATAAAGGATATTCAAGTCTGGGCTCAACTTATATTAATTCGTTTGTCGATAGCAAATATCTTTTTCTATGCAATTCAATAAAGTTCTATTTTGGTTTCCCTTTTACGAAAGCATTGAAAGCTGTTCTTTCATTTCAATAGCCCATATGAATAGTAACTGATTCGACTTCAGTTGTGCTTATTTAAGAGCTAAGCTCTGGTCTCTTATGCACTTAGATTAAATAGTTCGACGCAGGCATAAGTCTACTAAAACTGTGCAGTGTTCATTGTCGATAACAGGACATTTGTTATTGAAGCTGTCAAGTGCAATTGGCATTTGTGCTTTCAATTTGGCGTCAACAAATCCGGTTGCAGAGAATGCTTTCATATTGAATACTCACTTTTATAGCGCAGTAGGTAACCTCCTTTGATTTGCTTGCCACCGGTGCCTGCAACAGCAAAAAAAAAGGGAAAAATATATATATCAATACAGAGAATGGGTGAAATGAGAGCAAAATTGAGTTGGCCGTAGAACTCATCTAAGCTGTTTCCGCTGCAGCCTTCCCTCGATATTTAATTGAAAACGTTGCTGCCGTTGCCGGCTCTCTAGATTCGAATGTCAAATTACCGCTGGACTGGAACGTAGATAGCTCTCTTATATGGCTGAAAACTAAGTTTTCTTTGCCAGCACGGACCTGTTGTCCAAATATTTGACAGTGTGTGGGATTTCAAACGCTTTCCTGCTAAAGGGTGCCGAATACTGTACAACTTGAAATTCTCATTTTTCATCACCACTACCCAAAACCCACAAATCGGTTGGGAGCTCATTGCCCTACCCCTCGTTATACCCCTTTTTTTTGGACTTGAACTGTGCGAGATATTCATTGAAATATTAGAACTGGCGTTCATTCATTCGAATGATTAATTAAATCACATCGTCGGAATACTTGGAAATACGAATTTTTGGTTGAACGTATTAATTAAGTTTGGGTTGACATCACATTGAGGGGCGTTCATATGTGCACTCTCTATAAAACATACATTCACGGAAAAAGATGCATGCAATTTGCTAAAATTGTATGTGAAAATATTTCCTAATAAAGAAATTCCTTACTCAATTTAAAGAATAATCAATTCTGTTCTCCACATCTATGATAAAAAAAAAAGAAATTAACAAACTGTTTTCCATTTGTTATTCGGCGTGAAACTTTTTATTAAATTTTTAATTTTTAATTTTATTCATTTGCAAGGAAATTTCCACGAATACCGAGAACAAAAATTATTCAATTATTCAGTGTCTGAAAAAGTTATAGCGCGAGTGAAGATAATTGGATCAGCCTTGGTAAATGGGTAAATGTGTAAATGGTGTTGTTTTTTTTTTTATCAATAAAGTGAAATGCTATGAACTCTTATATATAGTATTTACTGTACTTAATATATACATTCCATGGAAATATGCTTTGCTAATGGTATGGCTGTCATGTTACAAGTAATTGCAGTTGGTTGCGTTCGTAATAGGATTAGTGCATAGCAGGAAATTGATAAGTGAATGCCACTTGGCATGCCTTAAGGACTGCAGTTGAGTGCTTCGAAATCAAATTGAAGTGAGCCACTACAATTGTCATATAAGCCATGTGTATCTGTGTGGGAGTGTGTGTGTGTGTGTGTGTGCATAAGTGTTGCCTGATGAATATGATTAAGCATAAGATGGATAGGGCCTGGCAATAATTTCACTCAGCTGCTGATAGCTTGTCAATGCAATAAGCTGACACAGCAATTGAAAAAGGCTCAAGGCTCGCCTGCAAATTTCTTGGCAACCTAAATCAAATGCAGACGATAGAAAATGTATGTATATATTACATTACATATATATATCTATATATTTATATATATAATTGAGTATATATGTATATGCTGACAAGTTGAGGCTGGTATGGCATAGCCGAGAGATAGGGATAGAGACGATGAGCTGTAGAACGAGGTCGACGAAGGACACTGCGCCGCTTGTGCAAGCAGAGAAGCAGACAGTCAACTGACAAAGGACACCGGACATCATGTGTGCCACTTCAGTGCACACATACAAGCGCATCCATATTTTACATCCTACATGCAGCACATCCACGTGACAAAGCAGCTGAAATTGCAAGTGGCTGCAACAGACAACGACGACGTTGAAAGCAGAGACTTAGATGACACACGGTTGCAAAATCAACTTGTACATAATTGTTGGACCGACTGGGGTCGTACTCTCTCTGTGTGTGGGTGTGGGCTGAGTGGGTGGTTATGTTTATGGGCTGAGAGGAAAGTGCTGTACACTTGCATGATTTATGCACGTGCCTGCTTACCACCTACTGACAACGACAACGACGATGACGATGACAGAGAAACGTTAGTTTCACTTGCTGTTTTTACTTTACTATGCATGCATCAGTGTGTGTGTGTGTGCGTGTGTGTGTGTGTGTGCGTGTGTGGTTGGGTGAATGGATGGGTCTGATTGTTGTGTGTTGGCACTGCTTAATGATTTAATGCAGTTTACGTGCTCGGGCCAATGGGCGTGGCAGCCACTGTCGCTGATTGCAGCTGCAGCAGCATAATAACCGCTGCTGCTGCTGCTGCGGCTGCGGCTGATGCTGAATTCCACTTGATAAGTCGAGCACAAGTGGGCGTGTGGACTTATATACGTATGTCCATAATGAGCAGGTCAACAATGCGACCGCAGCGACAGATAGAGCAACAAGAGAGAGAGAAAGTGAGAGAGAGAGAGCGAGAGAGGGAGAGAGTGAGAGGCTGAGAGAGAAGGCGTGCAAGAGGGAAGTGAGAGAGAGAGAGAGAGAGAGAGAAAGTGAGCGAGAGAGAAAGAGAGAACGGGCGTTATACGTCCATACTCACACACACAGGGAATCACACGCACACACGCAATCTATGTGTGTGTGTGCCTTTGTATGCGATTTCATTCAGGAAAATTGGTAGCCAGGCATGCGGAGCAGCGAGCGAGAATCGCAAAAACGAGTTCAAGGGTTCGCTCGAAAACGGGGACAGCCCCAAATTACATACCCCTACATACTTATACATATATATAACATATATATATATATATATATATATATATATATATATATATATATATATATATATATATATATATATATATATACATATATTATATATAATATATCTAAATACACGCACTACTTGGATTTTTTTGGGGGCTGTGGCTTAAGAAACTTGTAACTTACCCATGGGCTGCTGCAGCTGCAGTTGTTGATGTGATGTTGCTAAGAATGACTCCTCATTATTTGGCTTCACCTTTGAGCACATGGAGAACATGTTTATTGGCTTTGGTTTGGCTGTGATTTGTTGTCGCTGTTGTTTGTTTGTTTTATTTTGTTTGTATGTATATATATATATATTTATATATATTTTGTGTACCCGATTGTGGCAGCTTTTAGTTAGTTTGTTAATTGATCAGATCAGTAACTGAGTACAGCGCTGGTAGTCAGGATACTCGTCGCTTAACGCTTGGTTCATTAACGCAACTCCTTGTCCCCTCTGGTCGCTGCCACCGAAAAAAAGACAAAGCAGTGATGTCAGCAGCCACTCAAACACACACACACACACACATACACTCAGAGACACACACACACGCGTGCAGACAAACAGACGGGAGTAGAGAAACTGTTTTGGCAGCATCAAATAGCTGCGGCAGGAAAAATAAAACGTGCGTTATATCCGTTATCAGTGTTCAGTTCAAAGTTACAACAGATTCACATACACATCAATAGACACACAAGCACAGACAAGCTCACACACACACGCACACACACACACACACACGCATACATGGGCGCGCGAAAGTGTTTGCTGCTGTTGACGTCGCTTTCGCTTTCGGATTCGGTTTGGCCGTTTCAATTGCTGTCGTTGTTGTTGTCGTCGTCGTTGTTGCTGCTGGTGCGAGCAACGCCTTTTTTGGTCAGGTCACTATTGTTGTTGTTGTTGCTTTTCGCATCGAGTTGCCGCTGCTGCCAATACTCTGGTGATGATGATTGAAAAGGTCGGGGCTTGACCTTGCCTGCCGCTAATTAGATTTCCAATTGTACTCTGTTTTTTTTTTGGGGGGATTTTGTATTTTTGCACTTGTTTGTTGCCTACTTTTCCGGGCCAGGCTCTGTCGCATTCAGCGCGCCGACAACACATTCACACGTTGAATGTTTACAGCCTTTTACTGCCTTACTGTCTGTCACGAATACCAGCCGAACAATGACAGTTTCACAATGGATTACACACCCACTCACACTCACACACACACACTTTTTTAGATTTGATTTGTTATTGTTTTTTTTTTGGCTATTTTGTGATTTTTTTTTTTTTATGGATGGAGTCTGCGACTTGGTCACTAACTGCTGCTCCTGCTACTGGTGTTGCTTCCAGCTCCTGCCTCGACTTGGTTTGTCCGCTTGCGCACCTCTGTTTGGTTAAACGGCCGAAACTCGACTGACGGACTCAGCTCGGCGTTACTCGGAGGTTAGCGTTGTCTGGCTGCGACAGTAGCCGACCTCCTGCCGAAGCTCTCTAACGAAGCCGCATTAAAAGCTCTCGCTTAAGGACTAGGACAACACAAGCGTACACAGGCGAATGTTTGGGGGAGGAGGACAGAACGGCATCTGCTGCTGCTGCTGTTAGACCTGCTATTACTGCTGCTGCTGCTGCTGCTGCTGCTGCTGCTGGTGGTGGTGGTGTCCTTCAACGTCCTACACGGCAACAACACGATGCGTTGAAATGCCGATTCCACTAGCGGCAAACGGCCCGCCAAACAGATGACAGCAGACAACAGACAGCAGCAGTAAGCATCTCAGCATCCCATTTTTCCGAGCCGAAAGCAACCGCTGCGTCACTTTCACTCATCCTCTCATCCTCACTTTGGCTGAGGCTGTAGCTGTAGCTTTGTATTTGTTTTTGCTCTCTCACTGGCTCTCTCTCTCTCTCTCTCCGATGTTAGTAGGTTACTTGCACACACACACACTTACACACACACGCATACCGACACAGATGTAGGTATTCGTACTTGCAGTTGTCGTCGCCTTCATCCGCCTCATCTTCCGTCGACGCTATCGTCTGTCACCGTTGTCTTTCACTTTCGGTGCTCATGTTTTTTGGGCATAATACAAATGGGCTTCGGGGTTGGAGCCACAGTTTGAGCTGAAGCTGAAGCTGAAGCTGGCACTCTGCGTTGAGTATGGGACTTGGGGTGATGATGAGGGAGGTTGGGTCGCTATCAGCACATCTTTTGCTTGTTACCCCACTGGCAACATCTGCTCGGAGTCTGTTTTTCTCAGTGATAATCGGTAATAATGCGTTGTGTCACTATTCAAATGGACGTTTAGTAAATAAACAGCCCCTACTACAGCTCAAGCACTTTGCACTGTACAAATTTGACAATATTGTTAGAGTCGATTAAAGCAGATCGAGCAAAAATACATCCCTTTCATAACAGTACACAAGCATACGTTGAGTTCCTGGATACATATATTTATAATAATAATAAAATGCACAGCCTTAAACGCTGCGCTTATATGAATCCTAAAGGGACCCATAAAAAAAGAATTTGCATATAGCGATTTATATCCGTTCGTTCTGCAGGTGAATTTTATATAAGCTTTTCCCACTCAGCAAGTTTGTAAATATTCATACATTTTTAAATTTGGCTAAGAACAGAGCAGGCGACCCCTTCGGATGTGTATGGATCAATATTATTGTTTAGTTTTCCAACTATTTCTCTTTTACAATTACATTTTAACAAAGAATTCGTAATAAATTCGTAAATTTTAAAGATCCGTGAAGAGTACGCCTCCAAATTCACCAGCATAAATATAAATTGATTACAAATTTCAGTCAAGCCATGTCCAATACAAGTGTGGCAGCAAGTTCATCCCCATCGCGCTCCAATAATGTGCGTCAGCTGGTTCAGATGTTTGAGCAACTCTCCACAAACGGGGTTACGCCTCGGCCCGTTGTCCGGGTCTTAAGTGTGACCAAGCCGAAGGAGCAGCAGCCAGCCATAGCTGCGGATCTCGCTTTGCTGTTAAGTGGACGGCGCGTTGCACGAACCGTGCCACATAAACGGAATAATCCACACAGATCGATGGATGCCAAGAGCGTTAAGTGTGTTGTCTTGTAGAAATCTCTGCTTAAGTTTCGAATAAAGAAGCAGACATCTGGGCAGTTTTTTTTTAAATATCATATATATCCTTGCAGAGAATCTTGTTTGACCAGAGCTACCATTTACGAATGGGACATATAAATCGTCCTTGTAGCTGTCGATCATCCTTGAATGCAGTTTATTCTCATTCGAAAATCTGTTGGGATTTTGAGGCTTTTGACACTTTTTCCTCATCGCTGTTTTCAGTAAGTTTCAATTCTTTTGGATCAGAGCAATTGAGCCAGTTAAGGTTTTGTGTTATTTTTTGAAAGATCAACCTGCATAGTAAATGGTGTGAAATAATCTTATTAATTAATCATCAGATGATAATACGCTTTTTGGTAAGTGTTGACTTCTGTACAACTTTATTTGTGTCTCCTTGTTAGTACTACGTGCTTAACTTATTCTTGTATCATGTCCAAAAATTCTTGGCCACGTTTCTGGCTTTTGGCTTGCATTGACTGCTTAGTGCTTGTACGCTAATTGGGTACATATAAAATATTCAGCACATTCAGTTTATTCTCCAGTTGTCTCAAAGTTGTCCACGAATTGCAATTTGACTGAGCTGACCGGTTGCTTAAATTTCCCAATTTAAGTGCATCCAGAATGAATGTGCTTAGCGAGCTGCTTGTCGGATGTGATTGACATTAATGTTGTGTAACTAAATTATAAAGCAGCACAGCAAAAATATTTGCTTGTGTATGAATTTGGATAAAACGCTGCGCAATAAAATGTCAGTACGGTTTCATCCGGGTCACCTGTATTATGAACAATAAGCCTCTAAACGAGTAGAGCGCATCTATTAGAGGAATTAGCAAACGCAGCACGCGCAGCTCTTGAAAGATTGGGGCATGCACAAGTGCAAATACAAACAAGAAGCGAAACGCATTTATGAACTCCATCAGGTGGATCCTACAATGAACAGAACGGCACAGCTGCAACCACTTAACTCGTCCACAGCGAGAGAGAGAGAGAGAGAGAGAGAGAGAGAGTGAGAATGGGAGGGAGGAGGCAGAGTAGTGCTAGTTCCTTTTTTCTATGTTTTTTTGTTTTTAATTTATATCCTTGTCAGCTGGTGATTTCTTTGTTCCAGCTTTGTGAATGCTAAGCTCGATGCTGGTTCGTGCTCTTGCATGCAAGCCCAGCCAGAAATCACTTAAGCAGCAAGCAAAGCAAGCGTCCCCTTCTCGAATGACATGCGAATAGTGGCAGTAGGCAATGGGTAAAATAGCTCAAAAGATGCCAGAGCCAAATGTTGGGCTGGGCTCCTTGGCGTTCTCTGGTTGCCTTCAGCATCCTCTACATGTTGAGACCAAATGCCTTTGTGAGTGGCATTAATTTGATGCTGCAGCGCTTGCCATTGCCTTTGGTATAGGTTGAGCTGCTGCTGCCCCCTATTGTGACCCCGTCGTCGTCGCGCACCGCTGCAATAATAAATCAATTTTAAGTTCATTTCTTGTAGAAAATGTGTCGCTGGCTTTCGTCGTGGCCTGCAGCCTCTTTCAAGGCCTGGGCGTTTTCACTTTCGGTTTCCAATTACACACAGCAACGGTCACACAGACACAGCTCGCACCATCTCTCTCCCGCTCACCCAAATCACACCCTCGCTCTCCTCTCTCTCACTCTCTCTCTGTCTGAAACACACCCAACACACAGATACACACACACACCAGCACAGGCACAGCACACTTTAAAGTGTGTGACAGGGTTTCTCGGTTATGGTTTTTGTATTTCGCCCGTTAACGTCCGCTCGCTCACACTCCTGACCGTGACACAATTTCCATTGTTGAGCACTGAATCTCTGGCTCAGTACCAGCATCCTGCTATTGAATCACTTATACAGTAATATAACCCACACACAAGACACACACACACACACACACACACAACACACAACACACACAACACACACAACACACACAACACACACACACACACACACAACACACACACACACACACACACAACACACAACACAAACAACACACACACACACACCCACTCACAGATATAGTTTTGCTTAAATTTACATATGGCAGCAACATGACCTGCTCATACATTATATACATGATATATATAAAAGAAATATATATATATATATATATATATAGATATGTATATAGCATATATGTTTTTATCAATTGAGCTACAAACAATAGTCGAGGTAAACACACACAATTGATGTGAACGCAGTTAGAGTTGGCTTTGATTGCCACTTGTTGTCGTTTGTGATTAAAATACATTTTATTATTATCATTTGGTGATTTGATTTAAGGCTCTATTTTGCACGACATACATTTGCTTACAGTACGTACAGTAAAAAAAAAAACAACAAATACGCATATGCGATGCATATAAATAAAATCGGTGCATGACACATTGTTATCATCTATGCAAGTAAGTGGATTCTCTTGTCTATATACAAATGCATGCATTTATCCAAGTGGAGCAGCAAAATATATATATATATATCTTTCCGTTTGTCTGTTGTGTCATTCTATGCTTTTAGCACTGACCCAACTTGTCGCTTGCTTGCAACTGTCTCCGTAAACGGAGACATGGATTGGCTGTGATCCATAAACTTAAAACTTAAGAAACATAATAATTGTTTTCTTTTGTTTTGTTTTGATTTGTTATTATCAACTAGATGTACAATTTTCACTATAACATGTTTAAAATGCCATTTTTGTTTTCTTTTTTACTTGAGTCAAAGCTGAACTAACATTTACTAATTGCCAAAAATTATGCTACGGTTTTTCATTATTTTCGATAAACATTTTTCATTTGGTTATTGAAGCTGTGTAATACTCAAGTTGTCATCACATTAACATCGAAGTGGATATGGAAACGCACAGACTCATAATAAACGCAAGAGAATTGTAATAGTATTCAATAAGGACACGAGTGCAAAACATTATATGATACATTATACATTAAATGAGAAGAGGCCAATTTAACAGCTAACAGCTTACAGCTAACCGCTAACAAACGGCTAAGAAACCCGTTTAATTCTGCAGAGCGGCACGCAGCAGGCTGTCCAGCGTGAATTGGATTGTTCCATTCGCAGATGCCTGCAGAACGGATGGCGGCTTGGGCAGCGCCGGAAATAGTGCGGACGTACCCGCTGTCATTGGTGGCTCCATGCTGCTGAGGCACTCCACAACTGTGGCCGCTGGCAAGGGAGACGAAGGCGTTACCACCTCTAAATTGGCGGATGTATTTAACGCATTGGTCGAGCTTTTGCAGTTGCTGTTACCGTTACCGTTGCCCTTTCGTGGCGGCGATGGCGGCGTTAATTGAAGTTTTGTACCTAGACTGTGGCTGCCGTTGGGCGTCTTCTCCAACGCATCCATCTCGACTGGCGGATAACCATCAGCAGCATCGGGTTTGGCAAACTCGGCTGCTTCCGGCTTCTGATGTTGTTGTGCAATGGCGCTGTTCACTTTGTGCCACAGATTGCTGATGGTCGCATCCTTGCCGGCCGCCGCCGTGCGCTTGGCAATTTTCTCAATAAAACTCTCGCCCACATTGCTGAGGCTGGTGGTGACGGTGGTGTTCACCACATTCTGCTGGCTGCAATCGCTGCGTGTGTAGGAAATGAGACGCGGTCGTATTTGCGGACGTTCCGCAGGCAACTCCGGCAATGTGGCAGAAACGGCGCGTCCCTCACTCACCAGCTTCAGCATGATGCGACGCGTGATGCCCTGCACCAGGGCCTTTTTGTCCTCGGTTATATAAGCATCCCATTGTTTGGGTTTGCTCTCCTCAGACAACGAAACGTTGCCAGGCTGGCGACGCAGTTTGGCGCGCATGGAGTCGACAGCGACCGGCGTGGAGGATGTGGCACCAGTTGGATCCGCCTTGAAACTAACCAGATCGTACACAAAATCCTTGTTGACGGCCTTAACGCGTTTACGTATGGGTCGCTTCTCGGCGCCCGGACGCTCGCCCGACTCCGGTGAAATTTGTGTGCGCGACTTGCGACGCTTCTTGTTGCTAGGCACCGACTGATACAGCTCCTCATCTGGCTCCTCCTTGATGGCAAGGGCAATCGGCGAACTGGGTGCCGTCTCAGGTTGCGGTTCACTAATCGTTTTAATGCGTTTCAAGCGCTTCTCAAAGGTTTTGAGTGCAGGCTTGGGCTCGGCAGCAGTCGCCTCCATTTCGGTGGGCTGCTGCTTATCTAAGAGCACAATGTCGCCGTCGACATCGTCGCGCGAGTACTCGCACTCATGCGTGGATACATACTGCTCGGTCAGTCTATCGCGATCGCCTTCGATTTTGTGCGTAAAGCCCAAGTGGTTGACAATATCATAGCGGCGAAAGGCGCGATAGTCGCAGATGGTGCAGCCGAAGCGGCGGGCGCGATAATGGAACATGGAAATGTGACGACGGAGATTGCCGAGAGCATTGAACTGTTTATTGCAGATCTTGCAGCGGCAGCGCAACTGCTTCTCAATGGGCACATTGCGCTTCTTCTTTATCTTCGTTTTGGTCTCGTCAATCTCATGCTCAATGTGGGTCGGCGGCTCATCCAGTTCGCGCTCCTCCTCCGGCTCATCGTGTTCCTCCTCGCTGTTGGACGCCTCGTCGCTGGCCGAGTCGCTTTCGTGCTGCAGCTGCAGCTTGTCCAGCGACACGGTCTGCAATCCACTTGCATAGCTCTCACTTTGCTCGGCCAGATCGGCAAACATTTCATTCAATGCGGCGGAGTCAATGCTCTGCATATCCGCTCCAACGGGATTGTGATCCTTATCGGGTATCTCCATATTGCCATTTAAGTTGGCCCTTAGCTTCTTGACGGCAGGTGCTGGCTTGGCCAACGCCTCTTGCTTGGCGCGACAATTGAGCAGATGCGTGGAGAGTGCAGCTCTGCGCTCAAACGACTTCTCGCAGTAGATGCACAGCGACATGATCTTGCGCTGCTCCCCATTTGCATCAGTGCGCTCTGTCGCCTGACCGACAACATCGTCCGACAGCTGCAGACGTTTCAGCTCGCGGCTTGGTCCCTTAGGCTGAACATCGCCCTGTTGCATGCGACGCTTCAAAATTGTGTTGCGCATCATTCGAATGCGACGCGTTGGTTTCCTATTGCGCGAAAGCGAAAGCCCCCCCAATTCAAGATTAATCAATGTTTTATTGGTGTGCAGTCCCTGGCGAAACTCACTTGTGATCCTTGGATAGATGACGTATGACGGCTGCTGCCTGCAGAAAGGTGAGCGAACAAGCGGGACACTGAAACACAAATGCTGACGACGAATGATTCTTCTGTATGTGCAGCTCCAACGTTTTCTGTGTCTGGAACGTCAAATTGCCTAAAATAAAAAAAACAAATCGAAGGTCAGTTCAGGGCCTACTAAAATCAGTGACATTACAGTTTTTGCTTGCAAATTAGATAGAGACTAATTCTTGTTAAGTTTAAGTTATCGATAGCATAAAAAATTCATCATTTAATGATTTCTATTCGGCGAGCAACTGTTTGTATTTTAGGTGGGTGTTTTACATATTTCACAGAAGATGCTCGTTTCCGTTTCGTCGCAGATGGATTGCTCTGGGGTCTCAGCGGAATCGCTGCCACCGCTGGGCCGCTCGTACTGATGCGTGGTGACTGCTTTGCCATCGGGCCCAAGGATCGTCTGCGTGGAGTTGAGCATGTGATGCACCTCGTTCACCTCCGTTTTGATGCTGTCATCGTGCTCGATTTTGATCGTCTGATACATTGCCTGACTGGATGTCGGCACCGATTCCAGCTGCAGAACGGGTGAGATCGGTTTCACAACAACTGCCGGCGTCTTCTTGCGACGCAATCGTTCAATGACGCCACTCAAATCGCGCATGCTGCCACGCATTGGACGACCCTCGCGCGGCACTGGCGAACATCCTGTGCTGCGACTGCGCAGCATGTGTTCCATGTTCTGTGCGCCTGCAGCCTGTATTATCATCGTGGAATTCTGATCCTGCAAACAAAGTGCGTTTAATAATAACGTGAAACATAGTCGAACAATTTGGAAATTGTACGCTTGGCTTTACGGTTCACTCACTGTGTATCCGGCATTGTGGCCCGTGGTGCGTGCACTGATGCAGCAGAAGACGCGCTTGTGACTGATGAAATTGGCAAAACTGCGAAACATATTGCGGCACACGTTGCACTCATAGATCAGGCTGCACTCCTCCATTAGCAAATGGCGCACCTGTGAAAATCAATTGAATGACAAATTGAAAGTAGTTTTAAAAGGGCCAAAACGGCAGTCATCCATTGATTACATCTTCTTCAGTTATCAAATTGATCACATTAAATCAGGCTAGTTCATAGATAAATTAAGAAAAATTTGACGTCTCGTTCAACTTGAGTTAAAAACTATGAACTGAACTGCACTGATTATAAGTATTATATTATAAATATAAAAATATGATTTTAAGAAACATTTTATTTCACACTCGAAGATAGATTTGAAAAAGAATAAGCTTTGCTTAAGACCTGTTATACGCAGGATATTATGCTGTGCATGTCACAGATGTGGCAGCAAGACGTAGTTGCAACATTTGGTATGTTTCAGCATGTTTCCGATTACGCCATTCTTGGACGCAGCTTGGTCACGTACACCGTAAGCATGCGTCGCTCGTGGACAGCTTACCTCACTGGTGCCGTTCTCGTAGGCGCGACGGGCCTCCTCGAAGCCCGTGTGTGCCGTGTGCAGGGGTCGCTGCAACAGGCTCAGATCGCTGCTGGCGCCATCGCCAGCGCTGATGGCATCCATCTGTTGTGTGTCCGAATTGCAGCGCGAGTTACGTTTTTTCATTGCGCTGCTGCTGCTGCTGATGTTGTTGTTTCTTTTATTAATTTGTTGCTGTTGCGTGAGAAGGCACGCGACCTATGCGTTTGTCTTGCTGGATATATATCTTGTGTGTACGCACGCTTGTGCGTATTGTGCACCTTTTTAAACTGTTTCTTTAATTAATTGAAATTGGTTTTTCTCATACGAATTTAGGCCTGCATATTGCACATTTTCTTCTATTGCACTTTTCGTTTCTGCTCTGTTCTCGCTGTTTAGTGAGAGAATTTCTCTCGCTTCATTCTGTTCTCGCTGTACATGGTTTTTGCACTGCTAGCCAACACTGTTTGGCTTGGCAGCATGTTGCCTCACAGCGAGTAATGTTGCTGACACAGTACGCTCACGGTTGCAGCTCTGTTGTGCTTGCGCGCGCTTCAGTGTTGGATAAGCAACATTTTCAAAAGATATATTTAATTTAATAAAAACGTGTTGTTTTCTGTGTGTATATTTTAGGGGATTTATTCGCTCAAGCTTGTTGTTGGTTGACATTATGTTTTCTAATACATTTTATATTTGAATTCTTTAACTAATGCTAGACAAAATTAGTATCTTTTGTTTTATTCACGAATACATAGTTAATATGAATTGTATTTATTGTAAAAAGCGCTTGTCATAAAATATTATTATTCGTTTGCACTGCTGTTGACCGTAGCTTAAGCTTGGTATATATGTATGTATGTGTGTCGGTATGTATGTGTATGCATATAATTATTGTTATTTAAATGTATTGTTTTTGTTGTTGCTTAACGCTCGTTTTGGAAACTCAATTACTAAATACATATTACATATATGTATATATATGCATACATATTTGGAGACATACATATATATATATATGTTTTATTATTACCGCACTGGACATTTATTATTATCCATTATACATACATACATAAATAGTTTATTGATATTTAATTGAATTGCTGAAAAAATATGCATTTATTGATCTGTCTCATTTTTTTTTTGGTGTAAATAGCATGTGGCTTAATAATAAGTATATCATTTAATTGTGTACATTTATAAGCAGAAGTGGCTACATTTGCTCGTATGTATGTATTTAATGTAAATATAATCTCTTATATTCGTAATGTTTATACGTAATTTACGCGGCAGAAGAAGAACTTGACTTGACTTGATTCGCTAGCGATAAACGTTTTTTGCCATTTTGCACTTTCCATTAGCTGCTGTGTATTTGGTTTAGTTTTCTTTTGTTTAGTTTAGTTTCATGATGAGTAAATTTGTATAAGGGTTAAGGTAATGCGTTTATCTTTAGTAAGGCACTAGTTACACGATAATTATTGAATAACGTGTAACTACTGACTACGACATACAAATCCCTCCTCCATATTCCGATAGAATCCTTAAAGCTTACGGGTACAATTTCATTTAGCGTATTCTTTTCATTTTAGTGTTCATATTCATTATCATTTTCATTATTTATTTAGCTAATGCAGCGTTGCAACTAAAACTAAACTGATTACAAAACAAGCAACGATGCTGCAGCGACCACGCCGCCTACTAAAGATAAATTGAATTAGGATTAGGCTCAATCAATGAAGATCAATCAATCAATCGATCTGTCGATATGGAGTACCGCAATATTGGCCACTACACAATTTCGCTACAATTTATATAAATGTATTTGGGTGGTTTTTGGGGGTTGACTGGTAGGTTGATTTGTTGGTTGGTTGCATGTACGTTTAGGCTGATACTTTACTGTATTTCTTTCGTTTTTCTTCTTTTTCTTTGACAATACATGTGTTACATATATATATATATCTATATATATATATATATATATATATATAGGTAGTAGCAGATTTTGTGTCGCGCTGATCTTGTTGTAGTGATCGCACACACACACACACGCTAGTTACAATATCTAACCTATAATTATGTGTAGCATTATAGGGGGGTGGAAGAGAGATAGAGAAAAATAGAAAGAGAGTTTGTATAGTTAGCGCTCGGGTATTTTCTTATTGTTTTGTTTTGTTTTTTTCTAAGTTTCTTAATACAATTCGTGATATTTATTAAATTGTTTTTTTTTTGTTGACACACTATAAAACTAGGTTTAAGTTTAGCATGACTGTTACCATACGTTAAGTTGAAAATGCAACTGCAGTTGGGAATATTGCATTGTATGCACAAACAAACTATGCTAAAAATGTTGTATCAAAATCCATTGTAATATGCTGTTATAGATGTGTGTGTAAGTGTATCTGTGTGTGTGTGTGTCTATTATGCACAATGCATTTCAAAATTTAATTTACATCTGGTTTACATGCGGGTTACGCATGTTTACTGGCAGTTTTTAAAGTTGCTTTTCAGCAAACTAACTTTGATTGCAATTGCCATTCTCAATAGCTGCTCATTGTGTGGGTGTGTGTGGCTGTGTGTGTGGGTGTTTATGTGTGTTGGGGGCACATGCATAGCAGGAGCAGGACTAACAACTACGTACATAAGTGCAGGAGATGGCTTCTACTCTATACTTGTATGGTATTCTCTCATATCTAGTTTATTTGTTGTGGGCATACAATTTAACCTAGATTAACATATGGATGCTTGTTTGCTTACAATTAAAGATCTTGGTATTTGTTTTTTATCATAATTAAATTAAATTAAAAATTCTGTTTAGGTTTATTATAAAATTTCACATTGTTTAAAAGGTTACCATGATTTTCGTTTTTGTTTTTTTGTTTGTTACATGTTATTTGATGTATGTATGTAATGTATTTATATAGTGTATGTTTGTTGTTTTTCGCGTGTGATGAGTGACAGAATGTGTGTACAATGAGATTCGCATTCTACTTACATAGTTTAACTCATTTTACAAATCATAAATTAGGCATTAAACTAAAACAAACAATTGTCAATAAAAATGTACACTTAAAATCAAATAAAATAACACGAAAAACGTTTCACTTAGCGAGCAAAATGAGACTTTAAAAATGAACTTAAATGATAAAACATATACATGTGTATGTAAGTATGTATGTCGAACATAAGCATAGAAAGTAATTAAGAATATTTATATATTTCATATAATACATAAGGCCTTTGATGGAGAAATCGTGTTCAATCGTGTTTCTTAAAATGTACATATAGTGTTCATCATATAACGCTCTGCCAATCCGGTGATGAGTCTTTTATGTTTGTGATTTTTTCTGAGTGAAGATGGGGCTGGTGAGCGGCGTGCCCTTGAGTAATGAGGCGTGTTCCTTGTGACACATATAATACAGTTCATCATATTATGTATGTAAATGTAATTCTGCATTTATGTATATATGTATACGCAAGTATAACAACATGTGCTAAACATATGGAATATTATCATATTAGTTTGGTATCATTTTATCGAATTGTCTTTTTGTTCTTGTTTTTGTTGATGTTGTTTTTGTTGCTGTTTGTTTTGTTGAATTATTTTGTAGACGACTGTTTTGTTTCATATATTCGATTTGTTTTTATACATTGTGAATAATGCGTTTAGTTTAAGAACTTTGCTACTGTTATCATTATGAGGTTGGCCAACATGATGCAAATGCTTGATTCTTGCAAATAGCTACCTCCGCTGACAACAATGTCTTTCTCCTCCAGCAGCGGATAGTCGATGACATGTATAATGCCATTGGTGCACTCCACATCCGGCCGGTAGACATTGATCTTCTTGTAATTCCACAACAGCACATATCCTGCAATTAGAGAATTCAATTAATTTGACTCGTCTACGGTCTCGGTATAGTTACATAAATCAAGTCTAAAGTGATTTTTCTAATGGGCACAGAGTGAGAGAGTTGAATGTTATGCATGGAAATAGGCCACTTTTGATGGCTATGGTGAGTTTGGTTTGTGCAATGGGTTGACATACGGCGGCAGCACTCACCAGTCCATTCGTGACTAGCATACTCATCATGTAGATCTTTTATATATTATGTTGTTTTGGTTAAATACAAAGCATGGAATTTTTGGTAAAGTCATAGAGAAACAGCATATGTTAGTACAGATCATGGGTCCCAATAGAATTTAATCGAATTGATATTGAAAGCATTTTTGAGTGCCTAAATTGGCTGCAGTTAAACTTCTACTTACGTCCAGCCTCCTCCTCGACCCTCACTTTGAGTGAGTCACGGAATGTGGGCAGCACAACATTGTCGGTAGTGAGCGACATTTGCGCCAGATCCTTCATGGTGAACACATGATCCGCAATTACCAGATGACGCTCCAAAAGGTTCTTGGACTGTTATTACAGCAGAGCAGGGGGAAGACATATAAGTAAAGGTGATTTTAGCGGAATGGATATCGACTCACATGATAGGAAAAGTCACGCATGAAGAGCTTCTTGTGCGCCGAGGGGTAATCCACTTCAGTCTTCTGCCAGCCCTTGTCGCGGGGCACGAAGAAGGTGTATCGTCGCTGAGTATTGTTCAGCTGATCGTTAAAGTGCGAGAATTCGCCCATTTTATATGTGTCGCTGTCGATGATAGAAAAAAATTAGCAACTTGAAAAGTAAACCGTTTGTATTGAGTTGTTACCTCATCATTGGATCGGATTCCAACTTGCCCAGCACAGTAGTATGTGGCACGCCCAGCACACGGTCAATGATGTGCACAAATCCATTGGTTTGAGCAACATCAGCCTGCAGCACAGTGGCATTCACGCCACCACCTTCAACAGTAACGACTGCATCGGTGCCCTCGCCTTTGACATTGAAGTACAGGAAAGTTCTATTATTTACCGTCGGCACCTGAGCGATCTGAGAGTGAAGAAGGGAAATTTAGGGCAATGATTGATCTGATTCTTATGGTGAAGTTTTACCATGTTTGCATTCTTTTCTCTGATCTTCTCGACGTTCAAGCGATCCTTGATGATGTGCATATTTAGAATATCAGTCATCCTCTTGCGATCCCTGCGGTTAACAATCGAACATTAGATTTGAGTTTTGTTCATTTATAGACATAGTACCTAATAATATTGTCAATAGACGAAATGTTCCATGCCTCGTTGCTGGGCGCCAAAATGGTCACCTCGGACAGATTGTTAATGCCTTCCAGCACTGCGCCACCGGCGTCCATAATAACCTCGTAGAACTTGCGCAGTGCTCCATTCTCTCCGTTATCCTTCAAAATAGAAGCAAAGGGTTTTTCAATCAAGTCTAAAAACTAAAACTTAAAAAATCAAATAGTTATTGTTTTTTTTTTTTTGGAGGGGAGGTCGCTCAAGCTAAATGTGTTTTAAGTATAAGGGGAGTGTACAAACATTAAACAGCGATTGTATTTTAAAAAACATTCACAACATTTATAATGTTAAAAAAAACTGTTAACCAAAGAAGTGAGCCAATTGGTATACAAAAATCAGATGTAAATGGATAGCGAATAATTTTCACACTATTTATAATGATCCTCTGATAATCTGAGCGATATTTAGGCCGATGAATTTCTACAGAATCAAATCAAGATGTGAAGTTCAATGGTCTCATCTGGCCATGACAAATGAGAAACAAAGTGGTTAAGTGAGATGTGGAGCCAGCGATGGCGGATGGTGCGTTCAGTGATTGTTGGTGGTCCATGGGGAAAAACTGATGAATGTTGTGTTTGAATTGGTTGTGGAATACAATTACTTACGTTCAGAAACTAAATCGGTACAATCGGTGTACAACGGGTGAAGAAGTAGTAGTAGTATTATCATTATAAAAAGATCGTTAAAAAGTTCGTTTTCGTTTTGAAATTGGACAATGTTATTATAAGATTTGTATGTGGTAAACGTATTCATTATTATTATTCAGGTTCCGCGCAGTGTGCAAGTTCCGCCACAGAGTTGGATAAATGTTTGAAATAAATCGTTAGGGAATATATAGTTTATTTTTCTTTGTTTCTTGATCGCAGTTAACGAGTATTATATAACGATTATTTATATATTGCAATTTCAACTTGTCAAGCAGAGCCTTTGATTTAATTACACGTTTCACGTTATGCAAAACAATTTCTCAATTTATATTTCTATGCACGTGCATGATAAGAAACAAAAGCATAAAATTTACAAGATCTATCTAGAAATTACGCAGTAATAAGAAAAAAAAAAATAATATATATATATATATATATATATATATATATATATATATAGAAGTTCGAACCATGCAGTCTCATTGAAAATATCGAATGAAAACAAGACAGTAAAATATAATTAACAACTGAAAAATACTTGCATCGTTGTGTGATGATCTAATCGAAATCTGTCAGTGATCGAGACAATTGAATCTATATCAATAATACCAAATGAAGCTTGTACTGCTGTTCTTTATTACTCATTAAAGTGAAATAAATTGGTGTTTCGAGAAGTACATCAATCTAGTATGTAGAACATGCTGCGAGATAAGTTCATAGTTAACATGCGGACACTCAATATTACTGAGAATTGGAAGGTTAACTCAACTTTACAATATACAATAGGTGTAAGTATAGCTATCAAAAAGTATTGTTTACCTTGAACGACTGTTTTATAAATTGTTTGGTCAATTGTCGATACCAATTTTCATTTTGCGAGCGATATGGGATTTTTGTTTTGTTTGGCATGTACGAGAAACAGAATATAGAACAACCGGTCAGTAAAACGAATATGACAAATGGGCGAAGTGACAACAAAATGCTAAAAAAAACAATCATAAATGTACACAACTAAACATTTAGATGAGCCAACTTGGCGCTGATATCGAATGTACAACAATGTATATAATGTCTGTAGAAAAATGCCTACGATCTGATCCTGACATGATCGAGATGCGTTTCTACATTAACGGATAAAACGATCAAAGCATGCCGACGACTGTGAGCTGAAGCTGAGATGACAAGCTATGAATGAAGGAAAGCTTTTGGCCAATTACGATTACATTACACAAGGACTGGGCGTGGTTCGACCAATGCACTCGATGGACAAAAATGGGCATGTTGTGAATGAAGTTTTTGATTATCGTATGATAACTATTTTTGTTGACATGGGACAGTCCAAGCAATGCTATCATAATTTAAATTGCATTTCGAATTTGTTTTCTTTTTTTTCTTTAACCAATTTGAAAATTGAAATTTTAAGCGATTTGCTTGCAGAGTCGAGTATGCGTTTTGAGCTGCAGTTTGAAAGCAAAGCATTTGAGAAATAAAATCAATTTGATAGCCGTTGTGCCAATTAACGCCTTGAAAATTGCAGCTCATGATAGATTGAGATAGAAAATTGAAATTTGGTTCATAAGATAAATTGTACATTAAATACATTGCTTTTCATTGTTTTTTTTTTTTTTTGGTTGAATTTGGCAATACTTACATTACACCCAAAATTTTTTTAAAATAAAATTTGTATTTTAAAAAATTATTTTAAAATAAAATTTTGCTTTTGATTTTACATGGAACCGAACTAGTTCATATGTCAAGAGCAAAGTTAGTAGCGCTATGACGCCAGCAAATCTTGCACCAATCTTCAGATCCCGAAAGAGATCCAAACAATTCAGTTCTATGTGAAATCAGACTTGGGTTGGTTTCAAAATATGTGTATTCTTTTCTTTTCTTTTTTTTTTTTTGGTAGTGTAGCTATTGAGTATTTGAGATCAAACGTCGCATTATGATCTACATACATACGCAAGTGTATTTGTATGTGTCTGTGTAACTATATATATTGTCAATGTCAATGTCAATGTCAGATTATGTTGCGCTATTCGATACTTTTGGCTTGGACTTTGCATATAGACGAACTCTGAAATTCTTGGGCTAGGCCATTAAGCAGACGCGAGCCTCTTATTGCTGCTCAGCTAAATGCAAAGCTGTATGTGTGTGTTGAGTGTGTATGTGTGTATGATTTTTATGTGTATGTGTAAGCGTTTGCTGGGGCAGCCAGGTGGCAGCCCAGCAATCCAGTGTAGCGTGCCGAGCCAATCAAATGACAAGCCTTATCGCCAGCCACGGCCAGTCTCTATTTATTTGCTATCTGTGTGTGTGTGTGCGTGTGTGTGGGTGTGAGAGTCTTTCTGTTCTGTACAATCAGACCGGGTGCTACGCCCACCTACCTGTAAAAACTGTGTGACTGTCGTATCGATGATCATCAGCGGGCGATGGATCAGATGGACGACACCGTTCTTCACGGGTATATTGGCCCGGACAATCTCGGCGAGGACGACGCCCTGTGGATGCTTGGCATCACCAATGATTGTATTCGATTTCACATGCACTGCAAGAATAAAACGATAGACAGGTATTAGTCATAGTGTAAGTGTGTGCGATGAATACTAAACTAAGTTCTTATCTCACTTTTTCCGTCCTTTTGCTTGAAGAAGCTCACTGTGACCTTGAGTTGATCCTCAAAGGCAGCGGAAGTCTTGGGTTCATCGTGCTGCGAGGCGGCAGTGAAAATGACAGTGTTCGGTATCACATGCCCGTCGATGACCTTGCCATCGACTAAGCTGCTGCGCGTCGAGAGCTGCAAATGTGCAAAATGATATTGATGTAATTCAGAAATCTAAATTAAACTAAGTACAATAGAGACTATATAGATCTGAGTTGCTCAGATTTGGCGTATCACTTTAGTCTTTTGGATCGTACAGACCTTGAAACCCTCATCGACGGGCAAGAGGAAAGTGTGCGCTCCGGGCGCCTGATAAAGCGTTTCCTTCTTCATTAGCGTCATCTGTGAGCGATAGGTGCGCAATTTGTTATCGCCCAAGTTGAGTTGATCGGCCTTCTGTATGAATTGCAGTGCATCCAAATTGTTAATCTCGGCCTTGGCACTGGGCAGTGCAGTCAGCGGCTCCAGCACCTCGTCGATTATGTGCATGACCTGTTCAATGTACAAAAATCATAACACATAGCTCAGATAATGCTCATTGTATATATGGGTATAATAACAATAGGCCACCGACCTGTCGCTTGCCCTCGCGATTGGTCAGCTCGACGCTGAGCGAGGGAATGATGCGTGCATTGTTCACATAGATGTCGCCGTTGCGATTCTTTGTGATGTACAGCGGCGGATTGCCATCCATGTCCGATGACACGGCCTTTTCCAGTTGGTCTTTGCTGAACGCAGCGGTCGCTAAACGATTGATTCATTTGAATATGATTCACATGATGATAGTGTTCCAATAATACTCACTGATGTGGTAGAGGACATGTGTGGGACCCTTGTGGCGCTGGAAGGCTTCGTTAGTCGGCACAAAGATCGTGCACGATCGCAGCGATAGCGTCGAATTGGCAACCGGATTCTGCTCGAGCAGACTATAGAACTGTAAGCATAGATCATTGAACCATTGGTGTGTGTAAGTAAGTGCGTTGCTGTTCAGGAATGCAAGACACGAAATATCGAACCAAACAAAACCATGCAATGTGCTCAAGGTGGAGGATGGGATTCGGGTGTTTCTTCAACTTTTGGCAAACTACTACCTAAAGGGCCAATTCCATGGCAACGTCACAAACAGCTAGTAGTAAAACTGAGCAACGGCTGTGCAGGCAGTAAAAGAAAAAAAAGGAAAGAGGTTTATTGAACCAATTACGTAAGCAACCACGTACAACCAGGCATAGAGGGCGGTTTTTTTTGTTGTTTTTTGCCGTGCGCCCATTTCAATAATTCTTCAATTGTGAGCGGGTGATGTTTATCAGGACATTTGGCTATGGCGCTGGGAAATGCATTTTCCAGCCGCTGCTACCCTACATTAGAGACGCTGACCCTTTCGGGCTGGCGGCCACCACCTGCCTGGCAACACGGCACATGCGACCGCGCACTTTGCGGCTTCCCAACGCTGTGGCGACACGCCCTGCTGCACATTCTCAACCAACCAGCTTTATGACGAAGCTCACTCTTTTTCAAATTGACCGTCTCTTCATGTTGTTGCATGTGTATGTGTGTTTATCCAATGTCCTGCACCTTTTTTTTATATTTTTTTGTTCGTTGCTCGCTCTGACCGTGTTTTGGATTTCTCTTGTCCTGTCGCCGCAGTGAGTCACGTCAATTTTATTTTATAGACCACACCGTCTGCTGGTTGCCCCTTACCTCATCTGAGTTGTGCTGCACTGCAACGTGCTCTTTTTGGTAATTTGAGAAGCCAGTTGTGAGTGTCTTCATCGTCCTGCTTGGATATCGTCGCTATTTTGTGTTTGCTTGGTTTCCATTTCGCTTTCTAAATGCTTTCGTTTATCAGACTGCTTTTAGGTAAATGAACTGTGAAAGCTCGAGACTGAGTTTATTGAGTGTAAAAACGTTTCAACTTTGTACAAAGTCTAGTTTTTAGTTAGTTGCCGAAAATCGGCAGTGTATCCTAGCTATAACTCTAGTTGAGTTTGCCAAGCTCTTATGCGCATCATCATGAATATGAGAATAGTTAGTGTCATCAAACAGCAAACCGCTTTTGGTAATTATAATTTCGGAAGTTAATTTATTTTCAAACTTCACTGGACGGACGATTCCAAATATGTCAGAGTATATAAAAAATAAAAGAACGATTGACGAGGAGCCAGCGAAATGCATATTCAAAAGTAATTTCTCTCAGCAAAAATAATCATTTAAGGTTTGTAATAAAGTATTTGCTCATTTCTGAGCGAGCAAAACAGCAATATTATTTCTAAGTAAATTGGAGCAAATATGAATGAATAACTCATAATTTATGAACATCTCTGATAACAGACCCTTCTGTGACTATTGGTTCGATTCTTTTGCAATTACTTATTTGCATAAGTTTGAGCCCAGGCAGATCAATCTTAATGCATTTCACTGCGATAATCCTATCAGCTGAGCTGTCAGCGTCCAGTAATTGCTCCCTTGGGGACAGGGGACTTTGCATAAGTTCAAACTGTCGTCTGTAATTCATTAGAACATCTACTCCCATTGACAGGCAATTTCAAGTCCAACGGAGTGCTTACATTTCTGTGTGTATTTAGGGGATAGAATCTACGCTGTTTTGAAATGCATTTGATTTTCGAGCAAAGTGCCAATGAACCCTGTTCGGGCCAAAAGGAAAAGATAGAACTGACGCCTGCTGCTGCTGTTGGTTGGGTGCAAACACCACCCAATCCTCCCCCCGCTGCGTGCGTTAGAGTCAAGGGCAGACGTGAGTCAGGGCCCAGACGGCGGTGCAAACAAATTCGGGTAATGTCGCCCTGGTCAATTGCCAACCCTCCAAGGCACTTGTGGGGGTGGGCGGACACGCCCACTCAGAGAGACAGACAGACACACACACACACACATCCCTTGTTTCAAATTTTACTAACGAAATTAAGGCAAAAAACATGTAACGCTTTTACTTCTACAGATAACAGTTGTTGTTGTAGTGAGTGTTGTTGTTGTGGTTGTTGTTATTGTTGCAGCTTACCCTAACTGGCATAAGGCGCCTGAAGGATTTGGCAGTGCTCTGAAAGAGAGAGAGAGAGAGAGAAAGAAAGAAAGAGAACCGCTAACAGTTCAAATTTTGTTTGCAACTCACATGTTTCTGTGTGTTCTTTTTTTTTTTTTTTAATGTCTGTATGGAGTTTTAGCCAAATTTATTTAATTTGTCCTAGTCAGGGTACCAAAAAATGCTACAATTACAGGGGACTGTGGTGTGTGTGTGTTGTTATTGTTGTGGGCGTGGCACTAGAGGAAACTCAATGCAGAAGCTAATTGTTACAACAAAAAAAAAAAAAAAAAACCAGCCGGCAAAATGCTCAGCGCGGCCAGTTTCGTGAGCAGCATTCGATCAAGATGAGGACCAGCTACAACTGTACATTGTACACTCAGAAAACATATCATCTTTTTTGAGCCAAGGGAAACTAGGTGTATTATTCAGAAAGTATACGGAATGTTGTTTCTTTCTATTAGTAAGAAATACATTTCTGGAAAATAGAAAAAAAACGCCCTAAGAATATTTCTTTCGCAATTTAAAAATTATATTTGAGAACCAGAAATTTTATTTCTTATTTTCAGGACGATTTTTTTCGGAGTGTATTTCTGTATTCCCTAGTGAGTGTACTCTCAAAATTTAATTGACACAAATTATTAATGTATGGTAAAGTTTTTGGTTTAGTAATTGCAGCAACCCCCCCGAGTTGTCTTAATTGCTGCAGAACAGCAGACATTGAGTAGGGGTAGGGGAAGGGGGTGGGCCAGCAGCAGGAGGCACGATCGCATGTCACTGGATCTCTAATGCATCTCGCCTTAGCCTTAAGTAGCTGTACACATATCTATGTATGTAGATATATATGATCATTGCCATATAAGCCCCATTAAGGTCACTTGCTCATTCACGTTTCATTCAACGCCTCAGAATAGTTGTATTTGTGTTCGTGCCACACAAGAAACTATAAAACGCGTCTCGGCATCGCTTGTGCGCCAAGAGTATTGTAAGCTTAAATTAAATTTAATTGAATCCGATGCTATTGCTCTGATGCTCGAGTTGAAGAGTGTGTGTGCCTAGCTCGAGCCGCCTACAAATGGCCGCAGCAGCGTTGCAACTGTCGCCAGTCAAAGGTTAAAGAATAAAATTAAAATCATAAATACAAATGCAAGGCCTGAGCTAAAGATGTTGATGCAACGTCACAAGCTGTACGCACGACAGGAAGTTTAGGGTCAGCGCAGGAGGTCAACCGTGCAACGCCCGCACATTGTCATCATATATATATATGTACATATATATGTATGTATGTCGCTGAAGGGGAAATTCTGATCGCACAGCTCTCGCTCGCTCTTATGTAAATGAGTTTTGATTGAAATTTGACTCGAGTCTGTTGCACTTTTTCTTCGGGGTTCTTCTTCCAGGAAAATAACATAATTATAATAATTATTTTAGCCCAATACGGTTTATAGATGTGTTGTCATATTGCTTGAAGGGGGCACCAGTATTTGTAAGTGTGTATGAAATGAGCAAGAAACTGTGATAGGCTGTCAAACTGAATGGAATAAATTGTTGTAGCCTTTGCATCATTCTTATAAATATTTATTTGTGAGCGGACAGTCAAATTTTTTGTGTTTTTCCAAGCAAAAGCCATTTCTTGCCAATGCTATCTATATAAGCCATCACAGAGTCATAAGCTTTGAGTTTTTAGCATAATTAGCACATTTGGTTGCTATTTGAAATTTCTTATGTATATATTGCAAGCATTTTCGCATTAATGCAAGAAAATGGGAGCTTATGCCTCAGAAAGGCACTTTTGTGCTGAGTACAATTTTCATGTTATCACAATAATAAATGTTGATAGTGGAATCAGGCTATAAATCGATTAAAATACAGACTATAATATAGAGGAAGTGCAAAATACACACATCTTTTACCACTCGTTTCTCTGCCTGCTTGTTCCATTCTATTGCACTTTTTCAGGGCGTAAAAATAAAATATATTTCCACTATATATTGCATATTCGACATAGTAAAGTGATGGGGAAATAAGAGATTGTAAAAAGTGCAGATTATGCAGTAGAATCAAAAGCATTATAGAAATTATAATTATTTCGCAAATATGCACACAGATTCTCGGGTGCTTGAGATATTATTTTATGGATTAACAGAACCTTCTTTTGAATGCTGCTTCTCATTTCGCAACAAAAAGATGTTAATAATGAGCATGCTCTGGTTGGTTGGTAGCTATGCCGCAAGCTGCACTAGCTCATTCCACATGTACATAGAGCAAAAGAGGAGGCCATAGGTAATACATAGTTTGCCACATTGTGACAATTACAGGTGAGGAGGAGTCAGCTGGCAGCCAGTTCGCAGTTCGCAGCTCGCACGCTTTCTTTTCAAATGTGAAATTATTTTTTCTTGGTTTTGAAAATGCTCGCTGGCTAACAGCAACTATTTTTGGGCATTCAATGCTTAACAGACTAGAACGACAGAGAAAAACGTGAGTCTTTGTTGTTGTTGGTGTTGTTTTAGTTGCCGGTTGTTGGTTGGTTGTTGTTTCAGGCTGACAACCTTTAATGGCTTCTGACTTTTTTACACTTTTATGTGCTGGCCATATGTCGGTGTTTGTTCAAGTGTGTGTTTGTGTGTTTGTTTCGGGTGTGTGAAGGTGTAAAAAGGCAAACGCAAATAGGTAGAAAACTGTTATGCTCAGTCGACGGCAACGGCCGGCAACTTTTGTGGGCAGTTGGTTGGTTGGTTGGTTGTTATCATTGTTGTTGCTTTTGCATAATTTTTTGGCTTTTACATAATGGACTCATCATGCATACCAAATGTGGCTAGCTGAGCTGAGCGCTGCAGACTCTGGACGTTGGACCGCTAACACGGCTAACAAGGCGCATCGATTTTTCAATAGACAAGAACAACAAGTGCAAATGGCAAAGGTCAAGGACGTGCTGTAACAACGAGCAGGCAGCTGCGACGCCTCATGACTACCTGTGCGGGTGTCCCTCCCTCTCTCTCAGTCTCTCTCTAAGCATCACGCTTACTCTCACTTCTTTTTCCTCTTTTTAAGGACTTTCTGCACAAGGATTTTCGTTTCAAGGGCATTTGCCGCCAGGCTTGGCTAAAATGTGTCAACATTCGTCTACCATTTGTATGTATTTATGTGTGTGTTGGCCAAAAATTACTTTTATAGTCGTCACTCGAAAAAGAGAACGCTTTGAATTGCAAATATTTCCAATATAATTTTCTACATAACAATATAAATTGCTTAAAGTTTTCTAAATTTGCACATTTAAAAGTGCTTACAAGCGGCTAATTTAAAATTTAATTATTTTTGATTTAAAAATAATACTAATAAAAATAAAATAATTTTATATTTAAACCTTATTCGTTTTTTATATTTAAATTATTGTTACTATTTCTGAATTTTGATTGTTGTTAAGCAAATAAACCAAGCGACTTCAATTCCTCAATATACATTTCTGTTTGTTCTTTTTTCGGAGCGATCACTGTACTGTGTATGAGTGTGCACATGTGTATGTGTGTGTGTGTGTGTGTGTATGGATGTGTGTGTGTGTGTGTCTGTATGGATGTGTGTGTGTGTGTGTGTGTATGCATGTATGTGTGTGTGTGTGTGTGTGTGTATGTGGCTGTGTGTGTTTGTTAACAACTCTAAGTACGAGCGAAAAAAAGAAGAGAAAAACCAGCTGGCCAATCAGCTACATGTGTTTTCTAATATTGTGGCTGTGGAAATTTAGTTGCATCTAGTTTTGTGACTCACCTGAGAAAGTTCCGAATCATCGCGCAATTTGTCCGCCAAATCGGCAGCAGCTGCAAACGAGCAGCAGCAGCAGAGCAGCACCAGCGCAGCTAATGCGCTCAAACCGCTGCGTGCGAACATTATTTTATTTTTCACACAAACACACACTTGTTTTTGCAGCAGCAGCGACAACGACGACGACGGCAACGACTTCGACGGCGACTTTCGAGGGTTGGCAGTATTTGTTACTGTGTGTGAGTGGCGAGCGCGCGACTTTTCTACGATAAATATCTGAAATTTAAAGGCAAAAAAACAGACACACACACACACAGGGAGGCATAAATAACATTACATATTCAACCACCGACAGGCAAGCACCCACAACCCGAACCCCTTAGGAAATTTGCTATTTGAAATCTGTGAGCGTCTGCACAAAACAAGGCGGCTTTAAAACATGCACTCAACTACACACAAACACACACTCTCATGCAATCAAATACCGTTATGTCACAAAAAAAATCACAAGAAGCAAACCACAAGAAAAACAAGAGCCAACGCTAAGCTGCTCTGCTTATTGTATATTGTTTTTAGTTATTCCTTTGCCTTGTTTCTTTTGCTTGTTTGTGTTAAATTATTTTGCACATTCCGATTAAATATGGTCATTCGCTTTGTGCTGTGTGCTTTCTGCTGTTATTCGCGGTTCAAGTAGATTGAAGCCGCCGTTCTCTGTCTCTCTTTCGTTCTTATTCTAATAAATAATTCAAGGAAAAGTGATTTTGAAAAAGCCAAGCCAAACTAAACTAAATTATGCAATGCGCCTTCGGGGAACTATTTATTGCCTGGCCGCGTAACACTTATGCTGCCTGTTAGCGAGCCTCCTTTTTGTTTCTTTCAACGCAACAATTGCATTGGCAATCAATAGCGAATTAGCCATTTCGCTGTTACGTTGCTTACACTTAGTTTGTACTTCTTTTACAATCGGAGCAGAAAATCTATACTAAGCGCAGCAGCGAGCGACGCACGGTTTTTTTTGAGCAGAGCCCGAGTCCCATACACAGTGAAGCCACCACAGCAGTTAGTTCACCCAAACAATACCGAGACAGAACTATCGTACGCCACGCTTCAACGTTTTCTTGCAACTGACTTAAGCCGAGAACAGGTTTTCCACAGAGAGCGCGCGCACACATATATAGTTATAAAATGATGGCTGCTGCATATTCTGTTCTGTTATTCCACTGTTATACTCATTGTCAACTGTTATCTTCGCTTCTAAATTAAAACGATATTGAGCGACTATCGATAGTTGCTCGTTATTTGTTTAAATAAGTCTTATACAAATAAGAGAAGCTGAAAAAGACTTATTGGTCTAATAGAATCCAATTCTCACAACTTTAAACGATTGAAAGTTAAAAATAAAAACCAAATCATAAGTACGTAAGCATACATAAGTGTAATAATGCAAATGCTCACTAGATTTTCAGAGATCCAATCTCTATTTCGCTTGGAAAACTAACTATTCATTCATTCACATTTAAATAGGCAAAGTAAGTTAACAAAAGTGCGTTTCAATTATTCAAGAATTTAATTTCAATCTTATTTCGAATTTTTAGACTCATAACTTTGAAAAATGATTGTATTTGGCGGCCTCATACCAGGGATGGGCTAAAATATAAAAAAAATGCTCATCGAGAAAAATACCAAAAAGTCACATTAGTTAACATGAACGAATGAGTTAACATGAGTAGTTAATAGTTTACTTAAGCTTAACAGTGGTCCTTAAATTAAATTACTTAACTTAAAAACAACATGAATTTGTTTATTTTTATGATATACAATGTCAACAACAACCCTTGTCTTTTAAAAACGCAATGGAAGGAAAACCAGCCAACACGAAACTATTCAACACTGAATGAAAACTCAGCTGTTTGTTAGGCTGACAGCTGTGAGCTGCGTGTTGTGTAACTTCTCGGAACCTATTCGCTTCGGAATGGAATGCGCTCGTAAATTTGTACGCATTTTCCAAACTCATCCCCAATTTTTTTCGCGTAGTATTGCCATGAGTTCCTCTAGTCGGGCCAAGGAGGCTGTCGAACAGCTAAAAGATAACAATCCCTACTACTCCAAGTATGCTGACAAAATAGCTAAAATGCAACAAACTTCAGCCGAGGAATTCTTGGATCGCATTGAGCGCGTTGTAAATCCCATTAAGGACGGTAAAAGTCAGGCCAGGTGCGTGAAAGTGAATAAGTATATTTAAATTACTTACCAATTCAACTTGTACTGCTTTTAGATCCTACTCGGAGCTATTGAATCCGAAGCAAAAGCTAGCCACTGAAGAGGCTGAACTGCCCCATAAAAAGCTTTCCGATATAATGAAGCTGGAGCTGATTGCCGACAAGGATGCCGAGGAGATTTCGCAAATCTGGATCGAATACCACAAGACCAAGGACGTGCTGGCTGCCACGCTGACCACAGCCCAGTATGAGACATTAATGGCACGCGCCAAGGAGCATCCAATCTTTTTGTTACCCCTTCCACGCAGTGAAGGCTTCGAGTTCATCATGCTGCAGTTCTCCGCGAACACTGTGCACTTCACACCACTGTTGGCCTACCAGGTGCATAAGGAGAATGCGCCCGAGTGCCTCACAGTGGTGCACTACACGGAAAAACAGGATAAGGGACTTGTGCTAATGCGCGGCGAGTACGACACAAAGGTTCTAACGGCACAGGAGGCTCAGTGTCTGGCGAATGAGCTGCAGATGTTCTACTACAAGACAGACGAGGCCAAGCTTAAGCTGCTGGAGACGTTCACCAAGCGTCCAGATGAATTCAAGCACATGGATCTTATAAGGGAGGTGGAAAACATTCAACTCGCTTAGGCATCGAGGTTATTCGAATATCGAAATTAAAAATAAAACCACACTGAAATCAAATATAAGTAAAAAAGTTATGATTTAGTGGATCCTTCGATCGATTCAATAGAAGGTATTTGTTAAAGAAGTGTCACGCTTGTAAATGATTAGTTTGCTGAAGATATTTCTTTCCTGAAACAATTATTCGTGTGTGATATTTATTATTTAGTTGGCTGATGTCAATAAATTGTTATTCAAATGTTGTGAACATAATGAAACTCGTAATTCGAGTATTGAAAGCAGATACCGATATATCTGTATAATATAGAAAAGGCTGGACTCCCATGCCAAGGATAATATATTAAATTTCCACTATACTCATTTCACTTTCAGTTTCTTGAATTGATTCATTTTGTATGAAAATATATTTAAACGACTATGCAGAGCTTAACTTAAGTTTAAAACCGATCAGAAGCGCAATAAACTTTTGCCCATCTATTCTCCCCCAGCGATAGGTGGGCAGTCGGAAAACGTGAGTAATGTTTTTTGAGCAACAAAACGCATGAATGCAAATTTTTGAGGTCTGCCACATGCCGTGATATTTATACAAATATTGATGCAGCTGCGGCTCATCGCATTTTTGATAGTTGCTTTCCAATAGTGTGCATTTTTTGAGGAATATGCTAATTCTAACTACTTTGGAAATATTGACAGGTGTACTCGTATAAAATTAATTCATTTAGTAGCAGACTGGGGAAATTATAAACTGTTTCTTGATAGCTGACAGCATTTGCAAGCCCCTTTCCCGTTGAATTAACCAACAATATTATTATTTGTACATCCTTGTAGAGGGTATATCAATTTTGTTTCCAAGCTTGCAACGCTTTGAAAGTTTCTATATATTTTGATTAGAGTCACTCATCGAATAGCCATTTCTGTCTGTCCTTTTGATAGAAGTCTATTAAAAGAACAGATCCTATGGATATTTTCTCAAAGACGCATTTTTTCGCACACTGTTCATGAACCATTTTTAACGCCAGAGTGTCAGGAATTTACCATTTATTCATGGATATTTTGCAATGAACATTTAATTGTTTTTAACATTCATATATTTAAGTATTCTTTGGTATTAACAAGAATTGTACGCATATAAACTGTTGCTCCAAAATTGTGCAACAAGATCTTAAACCTTAATATGTTTGCCTCTTCTTTGAATTAGTTTTGGCATCATGATTAAAACATGTCGTCCTCGCCGGCGCCATGCAACTGCAACAGACACATTTACATAAATGCAGGCGTTATAATAGTAATCATAATAATAATAAAGACAATTGTAGGGGTATTCACTTACCAAAACACCGCCGTTGTTTTCATTAAAATTATCGTTGCTGTTGCTGTTGAGGCCACTTTCAAGCATTCGATTGTGTAACGCCTGAATTGTGGAGGCACGCTTTCCAAATCTCACACGTGCTCGATCGCCATAGTAAACATCGAGATCCTGCAGATATTTCAGTGCATCCGCCATGTTGCTGATTTCATTGTTGCGCGGCGGTCGTGCCTTGGATGCCTCCACGTTGCAGCCAGCGGCAAACAGAGCGAGTGCCACACACACAACCAGAGTGCAGCGCATTGTATTCGACATCGTTTTCGATGGGATTAGCTGCGCACATGAAACATAAAATGCAATTAAATGGTTTGCTGCTAGATAAATATGGATTAACTAAAATGTATAATCTAATTGACAGTCGAGCAATGGTCACTCTCATATTAGAACGCATTGATTCGAAAGGTGAATGATTTTCGATATTTCGTTTGAAGCGTTTCTAAAAACATAAATTGATCTGGGAAAAACTAGTTCGAGTGTTTTGAAGTGGCTGAATATGTCAGTCATATTCACTCGCATCGCTTCGAGATCATTATTTTCTATAAAACAATTTCATTGGGTTTATTTATTTGAATATTGATTAAGGCGTTTCTAAATAATAAAAAAATAATAATTGATCTGAGGAAAAAACAATTGTGATCTCTTTTTACGAAAGTTGGAGTACCCGGCGATAATAATAGGTGAAGACTTGCATTCGAATTAAAGTGAATTACTGCTTGTTATTATAGCGATTTGAATACCTAACTAGCAGCACATGTTAATTTGTAAATGGCGTGCTATCGTCCCTTTGGTTATGAAGATCACAAGGGGTTACTGCTAGCTATTATTAAATGTACTACAGTCAGCAGTCAACGAATTTATAATTGCCTAAAGAAAGCTAAAGTTCAATTAACAAATCTGTTGTTATAGTTAGCGAATTTCCGTATTATTTTCTGGTACAACGAGCACGAAGAACTTTTGAAATACTCGTGGAAAACAAAAATCCATTGTTTTGCCTTGGACCAACATTGCTGGGTGCACATGAACAACAACTTTGAAATGATCAGTTGGATTTTTGTTTTAACTTTCCGCTGTTCTGTGAGCGAATTCAGAATTTGTTTATTATTTGGCGACCTCTTTTTATAATTAAATTTTTTATTTAAGTTAATTATATATATTTTTAATTTAATAATGTTTCTCGCAGGTTCTAAGTCAAGTGTTTTTTTTTTTAATATATTTAAATATACTCTAATAAATTTCAAATCCAGTCGGGAATCATGGATGAAGAGATTTATTTATTATTGAGCTGGGCAAGCGAAAAACATATTTAAAAATTAAATTATATTGAGTAACAGAAATAAATGTTTATCATAAAATTTTTGTTGAATTAACGGATCGTAACTTACCTTTAATTGTTGAGTATTGACAAGTGAATAATACAACTGGTATTCCTATGTTGCATGCAACTCTCGTCGAGTGGCGCAACAATTACCTGACTACTCAAATACAGAGTAATAAATGATAGCAGAGCAGCGGTCGTCGCCGATTTATTGTTCGAGAACAAATGCCGAGTTGCAGAGCCAATTATTAGGCAGCGGGTGGATCTAACGACCGAATGTAAATGGTAACCGAGTGAGCAAAGCAACAGGCATTTATACTCGAGCACCTCGGGTAGGCACCATGACCCAGATAAGGCTGAAGGATTTGCAAGTCCCCCATCTCCACTTAGCTGCAGTAGTCGCGTAGTACCGAGCCGAAGCCTCAAAAATGTATATTTTCATATGCAAGCTAATTATGTTTGGAAAAGTTTTGGGCAGCAGCTGGAACAGAAAGAGTCACAACAGCAACATGAACAGCAACGCCAACGCCAGCGCCATCGAAGCTAACGAATGCTGACAGTTGTCTAACGAGATATGGCGAAATGCTGCTGGAGATATTAATGATAAAATGCGATGCGAAGGATTAGCGCCTGATGGCCCACCTGAATTTGTTGTGCTCTTGGTGTTGGTGGGATATGCAAATGGCAGTTGCTATCTGGACACTATCATTAATTAGAATTATTTGATTATTTTTTAATTGCTGCCGGCTTTAACGGATGCCGTTTGAGATTGAGTGACGTCGTTACTGGTACTAGGAAAAACAAATATACATAAATATATATCTATTTAAACACTGTAAATTGCATTTTAATTTGGGGTCATGAGTGCCGTAATCTCAATATCAAATGAAATTCAATAATCCATAACTTCTGGTTATGTGCAAATACTTAATCTTCTCGTACGTATACGCAACATGTTCATAACAATCGTCATAACCAAGATGACTTCTCTAAATGCTGCGAATTAATACTGTAATTTTAGCTACTTAAAATGACCTGGTCAATGGTTAAGAAGTATATATAGTACAACCATTAATTTTGTCTGTGTGTATGTGTGTGTGTTTTTTTTTAATGCTTCTGCTGACGTTGTTATTATATAGAAATGTGTATAAATACTGCTGTTAAAGTGCAACATATGCAATTAAGCTAGTTAAATATTCATTAGAACTGGCTGGCAACATATCATATTTAAATTTAATTGGAAATCGGCTTTGTTGGTTCCTTATTGAACGATTTAGTATTTAATGCAATTGAATATTAATTTGATCAATAACAGAACAGCTCTAAGGCTTGACTCACCTTTACTCGAATGCAGCACATGCCTTGCAACTGCACCGCAGGAAGTAACTAACTTGAACCCATTAAGGGGGCTTACACTGTAATTACTGACACAGTAATATTGCAAATTTTACATAACTCAAAAACTCAACTTATTTACACAGTGCCAGCAATGGAATATTCTATGCACATACGGTTTGTTTGTTGTCTTTAAAACCCAATTGACAAGTTGAGCAAGTTGATGCCAGGGGAAATTCCCAATTTAAAGTGCTTTTCACCTTGGCCAAGTCTTGTCTTGGGTCGCAACAGTTCAAGGATATTTTTTATATGTTTGTCGGCCTTTTTTTTCGTTTTGTGAAGTTGATTGTTTTGGATGGGTTTCTCACCTTTTAAGTGTGAAAACATCCATGCCCAAGCTGCTAATAAGGCAGCCAGAAAAGCATCGATTGCAATCAAGTTTGGGTAACCCGTAATTGGAAAACAATGCATATGCACTATGTATTCACAGTTATAATTGAAAGATGCATGCAAATGGGGCTTCCCGTATCATCCGGAAACAAAACGCACGCATCGCGTGATTGTCCAACCGGATAAAAAGTACAAACTTTAACTTTATGGGATATTTATAGTTATATTTTGGGTTATCAATTAAGGGCCTGACACGGAAGTGTATTATATTCGAATTAATATAAATGTGCACACACGACTATTCAATAAGGTTACGTTCAAGTACATTTTCTTTTAGTTAATTTTCATTTAGTTAAGTGATTCACTTGTTTATTTTACACCTCTAACGGGCACAATACGTTTACTTTTAAAATTAAGCAAAGGTCTGGCTGCCAATGTCCATCCAATAACAATTTTTGCTACAACAAGAGAAACACCAAGCATTAAGTAAGGATTTTGACATAAGGATTTGACGTACCAAAAATAGCATAAAACTATCGCATTACGATAGTTTTGGTCCACCAACATTTGACATTCAGTGCAAGGAAGTCAAATGACAATTTATTAAAAAAATATATATTTAGACTACCATCAACATTTTTAGATATAAAAATGTTATTTTCAAGTTTATTTTATTATTACATTTATTATATATTATTACATACATTTTAGATGAACAGCATTTATGACAACAGGGATTCGCATTAAATGGACATTGAATGCAGCTTCCAATATCACAAGCCGTCTTTAAATTATTTAAATAATAACCATGTATGTTTTAAAAAGTGATTACATTTTTATTTATTTTTTTTAAATTGTTAGTTGTACTGTACTCCCAGTTACCAACAACATCATATTTACTCAGCATATCATTTTGAAGCAGTGCTTCAGATCTCTACAAGCATTTCATGCGTTCCGCTTGCTGCCTGTCTAAAATAATAATTTATCCATTTGTATGCATTCTAATTGACTATTAGATAAAATTACAGTCCTTTGGGGTACTAAATATTACCAATATAATATGTATAATTATCTACGTTTAAAAGTCGAAAACGTCTAGTGTTTCTAAGAATGAGCTAACGCTCAATTAAAGAGAAACCATTTAAAATGTTCTAAAGTTTATATATACAATATATAAAATATAATTTATAAGGGGACACACATAAAGTTTATTGCAGTTACTAGAGTATTCCACTTAGCTGTTTATAATGTTTATAATGCTATGGACATTCCTCAAAGGATAGCTATGTTTTCAATACGTCTTGACTGTATGGACATATGTAGGTGACTCATATCCTGGACTTGAACGTAACGGAAAGCTTTCAGGCTTATGGAGTGCGTCAAAACTTTCCAAAGCATTTTTTAAAGCACTTCGCAGTTTGAGCCAAAAGTTTGTAAATATGCTATAATTATGGTGTGACTTGCTATAAACAACAATTAACAGTTTACAACATGACAAACGCTATTTAGTGAGACTCAATGGCTGTACATTGAGCTGAATTTCGCGTGCGCTCGAGCTAAGTCTTAAATGGCAGACGGATTAATTTTGTACGCCAGAACATAAGACAATGGTAATAAAAAACACGCGCCGTCTAATGTGCCCATTAATAATTAAGTACACAAAAAATGGGAGCATTAAGAGCATGCGATCTTTACGTGGAATCTGGGTTTAGATTTAGGGTTCAGTCTACGCTGAAGGCGCTTAATGTCTAATGGACCGCCCTGCGCTAAGCTGTTGCCAACAAGTGGGGAGACCATTTTATTGTTTATATGGCTCAGCGAGCACGTTGTACACGTGACCTGGGCTAATGTAAACGATCTGGATCAATCAGATTGATCATTATTCACAGTGCTTTTTAAGCGTTATTAAATATTAACTACCAGTATCTAGTCGGGCGACAAATTAGAGGTATATGTGATTACTTAATAAATATTCATAAACATATTCAAATGCGGTGGTTCACGGGTGCGTGCTCATTAGGGATCATATAGAGTCATTTGCGCTATTAAATGTAAAACAACATCTAAGTGATCTTTAAAATGTACATACAACCACAACGACAATAGCGAGAGTATAACAATAACCACAAAAACAAAACAAATTGGCGAACTTAATAACCCCCTAAGAGAGTGGATATAGTATATCCAGATCCACTGCCGATCCACTCAACGTTCTAAAGAGGTTTGGGAGCAACCAGCGCACTCAGACAGTATTTTTAAAAAACTACCTAGTTGCAAGTACTTGACGTATATTAAACTTTTGCCAGCCATATTCGTGTGTGTTGTTGTCTCTGCTATTGACACCCAGGGACCGGCGTTGACGCAGCGTCAGCATCGTCGTCGTCGTCGTCGTTGTTGTCGTTGTCGTCGTTGTCGTTGTAGTCGTCGTTGTAGTCGTCGTTGTTGTCGTCGGCATCGTTAACAGAGGCTTGAAAGTGGACCGGTTCATGAAAAGATTTTCGCGCTTCGACGCTAGATGCTTGAGCGCAGCTCGGTCTACGTCTCGATCTGAGCTTGGTCGCTGTTTACGTCTCAGTCGGAGCTCAGCTGCCCGGCCCAAGAGTCCATATAAAGGTACCTTCTGGCGTTCAACTCGGCATTAAGTTGTCAAATATCGTGAGAATAGGAAGTGCGTGTCAGTCGATTCGAAAATAGTTAGAACAATATCTAAAACGATAACAACAACTACAGCAACGATAGCAAACTATGAAAAGTGCATCTAAATCAGTACAAAATATTTACACATATGGCTCAACAATAATTGGATAATTGAGAACAATCAATAATTCGGAGAATTTCGGATTCTAAATTCAAATTAACCGCAAGCAAATTGACTACAAATCCTATTATTTGGATATGTTAATTGTTTTTTTTGACCTGCAAGTTTTAGTAATCAATAAATAAACACAAAAATATATAATTATATTCATAAAAACAAGCAGCAGCTGTAAATATCGGTTAATTGATTGCCACACGGCATTAAATAGTTGCGAAAAGTGCGATAAAAGACAAAAACAGTTTCGACTCTTAAAATGAAACTGTTCACAAGCAAAACTCAGCGCAATGCAAGTGAGTAAATTAAAGTGCAAACTCTTAATTAAGACATTCCGCTTATTATCTACTTTAACCAAATTCATAGCCCCATAAAAGATCATTCGGAAAGGGAACCTCCCCAAATGATCGTTACAAAAATTTGACACTTGCAAAACTGGTTGTTAAATTCGTTTTGCAACCTGTGGTGGGTCTTGTGTGAATGTTATAAAGCAGGATTTGGCAGAATGTCGAAAACTTGACGAATATCTGCTTAAAAAGCTCGTTAAAACTATGTTGCAATATCCAGGAGCTTGGCAGATTTATAACATTCAATCTATATTAGCTAAGAAGTTGCACAAAAAATCTATAAATAAAATTGGTTTTAATTGAATTTTGAGGTGAAAAGTGGGTTTTTGTTATTATCCTTTTCTAAATTGTACGCTACTTTTGAAAAGTATTTAGTATAACAAAGAATTGTTTTTATTAATTTTGGTATAGACCAAAATAGTTTGTTACAATTAAAGAATTCTTTTATTTCTTCAAAGTCATTAAATATATTTTTATTTTATTAAGCGGAGTTTAGTTGGGGGCTTGGTGTATTGCCAAAAATAAATGTAAAGCAAAAAATGATTGTTGTGTAACAATTCAGCTTAATTTAAATAATTTGGAATGCTACGTTTTATCTCATATGACACATTATTTGATTTTACAAAAAACAACGTCATAAATTAACATTTAACTATTTATATTGATTTGAGGGGCATACAAACAGACCTGTGCTGTGATCCGGCCCAAATGAGCTGTTTATAAGTAAGTTTAAGTAATTGTTTTCGCACTTATCGTTAGATCGTTTCGACAAAAGTCATTGAATTAAAACTAATTCCAAAATTTAGTCCCCACACATACCTATATATATATTTATAAATAGATAAATACGTGTGTATTAACGGAACTCAATTGTAATTAAGCTTGAATAAATTAAGATTTGAAGCTGTAGCGATTGTGGCTGTAACGTCACGTACTACCTTACCATGAAGTCCGATTTGATGAAGATTTGAATCAACAAAACGGTTTTAAATTGAAGGCGAACTTTAAGCAATGTGCAGCATTGGCCTCAAACATGAATTGGGTGTGATTAGGCACATATATATAGACAAATTTGAAATGAAGAAGCGAACTCTTTCCAAATCTCCATTTATTGACCAATGACCCACATCCGTGTGAAAATTTTGAGCTTTCTTTAGAAGTTTAAATGTGTGTAAGAGATAAATACATTTAATGCACAAACTTAGCGTGCGCTAAACAATGCAAATAGGAATTGCTTTGACAATAGCAACAATGAAACAAAAGCCTATCAGTTTCAAAGTCAACTGCCGAACGGAACTGCGAACGGACTGGTTCTGACGAGCCTGTTTGTATTTCCTTGTTGGCATGCCATCTAATTGTTAGCGAGACTTTGACTGCGACTATTTAAGGGTTTTTTTGGGATTTTTGTTTTTGGTGATGACAAACAACAAAAGCAATAACAAAAACAAACCAACTACACATGTAAGATTAATCATTAGTTAAACACAAACAAAGCGGCTGGCAAACAAATATTTTGACAAAGCGGCAAGTGCAAATTAACTTCAACTGCTGTGCTAGCTTATCTTTTAGTTGTAGTTACAAAGCTCAAAAATCGCTGGCCGGCTGATCGGCTGACTAACTGATTAACTCACTATCTGGCTGACTGACTAGCTGGCTGGCTGGCTGGCTGGCTGACTGGCTGATTAGTCTATGTATATACTTAATTTATTGTCATTTGTCGGAAGTCACACATACGCACTCAGTTTCGAAGGTGCTGAAGTAAATGCATATATTATGACTGTCGGCTCACAGATACAACAAAACAACAAAAAATTCATTCTTGACTTTTAGTGGGTCAGCGTCGGCACGGCGCCGCTCATACTTCGCCGCTGACTGTTGAAATATTTCTGACTGTGTGCATTTTTAAGCACATTTGGTTTTTTTTTATTTTATTATTTTTTTTTTATATAAAACTCTTTTAATGCTATGCCAAATTGCAGCGAACTTGAACTTCAAACTGCTGCAGATAGCCGTCAACTGTCAACCTCATGAACGCGAGAGATATAAATGTGTCTCTTGGTTGCATATCGTTTCACCGCTAATATAGTGCCACATTGGGTTAAGTTGTGTTGGCCCCAAAACGGGTTCACAGCTCAACGGAATCAGCTGACGACAAGCGCCAAGCGTTACTCGCTCAATTATGCTCATTTGAACGGCTTTTGGTTGCTGACTGTTGGCTTTTGGCTTTTGGAACGATAAGTCTCAGTCGCGTTTACAAACTTTGGCAATGCAGTTGCATAATTTACCAAACACTCCGCAGTGGATTGGTTTTTTTTTTTTTTTTTTTGTTTTGGCTGAGTTGCGTTGCAGCAGAATAATTTGAGCGCTTTGTTTGGCATTTAATTTATGGTAGTTGTTGTGACTTGTGGAAGCTATCGATGTCTTTGACTGGTGGTCCAACTGGTGGCCACTTACGGCCATGCGGCCTAACGAGACTCGGCGCTTCAAGGCAAGGATTAACAGTCAGATATATCTATATAGTACTGGTGCATAGTTTCTTTTTGTTATCATCTATGGTTTTCTTGAATTTTGTTTTGATTTTGAAATCTTGAACTTTATTTTTTTGGCATCACAACAAAACGCCGACAAAACTGTTAATGAGTTTATGCTGTTTTGTTTTTAATTTATTATTTGGTTGTTTGCTGTTGTGGGTGATTCAAACAATTGACTTAGGGGCTTGGTAACGGGTTCATTGATCTGGGCGGGCTCTTAGTGGGTTTCTTGGTCTGATATTTAATTGTTTGTTATTGAACTTGCGCTTTTGTCATTTGTTTTATTTGTCGGATTTCTCTGATAAATGGGTTAAAACTTTTTTACTTGTTACTAGTAGTCTGTGCCATACAGTTAAGGTGGGGCGTGCACGGCCATGATCTCTAAAAATCGGTCAACTTTGCTTGTAATCATTTCCAGTTCACATCCGCTACAAAATGTCTTCAATGATAACAGACTTGGTGGAAGGTGAGCATCTTGTGTGATTAGTGTGTAGCTCTTAATTGAAACAAAACTAGTTTTTACAATAAATAAATGATTAAGCTTAAAGAATTTTTGACAACATTGGCATACTCGATGTTATTAATATTTTGTGGTCTTTTCTTATTACTCATATTAAAAGAATATTAATCTTATCGATCATTAATATCGTTTCCAAGCGAGGTCAGCTTTAGATGGCAAAATGCAGCATAAGAACCTTAACATAAATCGGTGAGGCCGTAGATCGAGGATTGGGAAGTGATGCAACAAGTTTATGATTTTGTTGGCATCATATATGTTGCCCCAGTGCCTGTCTCACCTTCCCATTGTTTGATGAACGTTCAATGAACTCAATGCCTTGTCATCGACATCAATTCGTTTTCTTTTGCTTTTTTGGACAAGTTTCGGTTCCTGCTCCTGCCATTGAGGTAGGTCGCAGATCTTTGCACTGAATTGCCGGCGACAACAACAACAACAACAATAGCATCGACATCGACAACAACAACAATAATATTAATAAATTGCGAAGGTCAATAACATGGCAGGCGCACGCCAACCACAAGCTGTCAGTGATTTTGCAAACCTGTTGAACTTCGACTGCTTGCAACATTCGCGAATGTGACACAGACTCGAGATCTATTTAATTGCATAACTCACCTCGCACTCCTATTTATTTCGCAGGGCTATTACAATGTGCGGCACTTGGCATGACACTTGTGTTCTTTGGAGCGGCCATCTTGATGACAGATCCCGTCACACTAATCGTAGATTGGGTTAGTAAAGTGCCAAATCTTAGCAATGTTCTCGACTAATTTTCTCTCTGTCTCTCTCTCTCCCTCTCTCTCTTTCTCTGTCTCTGGTTTTAGCAATTAAGTTTGAAACCCTACACGCTTTTGAGCAAACTGTATGAGGTGCCACCAGTGGATGTTTATATAACTGTATACATGTTTAATTATACAAATTCGGATGCGTTTATCGCGGGCATTGACACCAAAATAAAGATCGCGGAAATTGGCCCCTATGTCTACAAGGAGGTGCTCTCCAATCACAATGTTACCTTGCATGAGGCCAATAACACCGTCACCTATACGCCGCGTCGTGAATATATATTCTCGCCGGAACGTTCGGTGGGTGACCCGAAGGTCGATCACATTCGGGCACCCAATATACCCTATATGGGTGTCGTCAGCCAGGCATCCGACATATCCATGTTCGCGTCTCTGGGCTTGACCGCACTGACCAGGCGCTTGAATTCACAGCCCATAATGGATATCAGCGTTCACGACTACATGTGGGGCTACGAGGATCATCTGGTGTCGTTGGCTTCCAAGATTATGCCCAGCCTGATCGATTTCTCCACCTTTGGCATTATGGAGAAGGTGAGAACTATTCCCCGCCCCTATGTATTTTGGCTTACACATTTTTTCAACTCAACTATGGTGCAGCTGTTTCGCGAGGGCAATGAGAGTAACGTGTTCAATATGCATCTGCCTGAGAGGAAAGATGCCGTTGGTGTTAAGCTGCCCAACTCGCCACGCGGCTATTCAATTCATTCCGTTAATGGGGACCGTGGATTTAAAAACTGGGGGTATGATGATTCGACCAAGTAAGTGTTGGCAAGACAATTGCTTATCCAGAAATCCCTGAGATCACTCTCGTTTTCCTTCTTGTAGTGGCACCAATTGCAATCGCATTTCGGGCAGTCATGATGCCACACTCTTTCCTCGCGACATGAACAAGAACGACTCATTTTTAATCTTTCGGAAAACGTTCTGTCGTCGTTTGCCGCTGACATTCAATAGAACGCTGACTTTTGATGGACTAGATGCATTTGAGTTCACTTTGGCTCCGCATATCTTTGACGAGGATCTGCAGAATGAGAACACCTCGTGCTTCTGCAAGAATAACCACTGCTTGAAGAAGGGTTTGGGCAATGCCTCTCCCTGCTATTACAGTAAGCGAAAAATGGATTCACCTTTCATTTTAACATTTGCTACAGAACTTTTTGTTTTTTCCTTTAAGATATGCCCTTGGCTGTAAGCTATCCACATTTCCTGTATGCCGATCCCAGCTTGCTGGTACCTTTCGAAGGGCTAAGTCCAAGTATAGAACGACATGCATCAAAATTCGTGTTGCAACCGGTGAGTGCATAGCATATAGAATATCTCTCTTCTCTTGAAATCTAACCAGACGTAATATTTACAGCAACTGGGTGTGCCTTTGCATGCTCATATGCGTCTACAGGCCAACCAGGTGGTGAGCAATATCAAGTTTAATAGTCTGATGGAACCCTTTAAGAATTTAGTGTTGCCACTGCTCTGGATAGATTTTACCATTGACAATCTATCCACGAGTCTGCACATACTTAGTCATCTAATCAAAACTGGATTCCCAATGATGCAGCTGATCCTTGCACTGTGTCTGATTTTCTTCGGGGTTTACCAGCTCAGCATAGCGTTCCATTTATGCTTTTGGTCACTGCCAACAGCCAAGCACAAGTCCGATCATGGCGAGAAGGAGGCGAACGCGTTGGGTGGCTACAGCATAGTCGCATCGCTTCAAAGCTCTTTACCGGCGGAGTGTGTGAAACAGGAGGCACAGCGATTGCTGGATGATGAACGCAAATTGGGAGAGGTCTAACGACTACCTCGACGTCAAATGGACTGCTCCTTAGAGCTGTCCATGCTCTGTGATATTAAGATCTAAGCTAACAACGATATTTAGTTTAGCTTATATTCTGCTCAACGGAAACAAACTTAGGGAACATTCTATGCTTATGTAAGATATAAGGTTGATGGTGATTTCAATTTGTAGTCGTCTAGAATGTACAGCTGAGCCTTAACTCAATAAATACAAACAGCAGTAAACTGTAATCAAGTTTCGTTTGTCCTTTCGAGTGGATCTGGCCTTAATGTGAGGCTATTGTGTCTTCAATCCAATTTAGGTAATACGAGATGCGTAAATAAACATCCGGGAAATTTTCAAGTGCACAGCCCGAACCGAAAGACGTGACTCCGGCCAATATCCAGGGTCCATCCCGTGAGAGACGACACTGCAGTGGTCCACCCGAATCACCAACACAGGTGCCGCCCTCTCCATTGAGCTGCCCCGCGCACAAATGTCCATCATGGATATTCACAAAGCTGCCGTAGGCATCTCTGCATCTGTAAGCAAGGCAAATCAATTATTCATCAATATATATATTCTTTCGTGGTAAGTGAATCTAAATCGGTAAATCCAAGGCAATGATTCTACACAATAAACGACCTTCAATGAAGTTCATCAGCTCTTCCAAGTTCCTACTCTTTTTGTATCATTTACCCAACTAATCTCCAACTAATACATCAACTCAACAGAATCCAATCACTTTCTCAACGGTAAAATTAATATCCATTCTTCAACATTTACTTCCAAAATTTAAGACTTTTAAACTTTTAGTATGCTCACTTCCTTAAACTTCTATACGAGCTGATTTTCCAAGTTTCACATATTGCATAAGGCCAAAACATATTTCTTCACTTTTGCGAACACCTAATAAGGAGTTTGGTTTTGTGTAAGACTGGCTTAAATGCAATACCAATTTCAGAATACTGTCTTAACAAGCATTTGAACGGTCTGCTCCCATTGAAAACTAACTGCTGACAAACTTACCTGTGATTTTGATGCAGCGGCACCTGTGTTTTGAGAAGCTGATTGGACAAATCACCGCTGATGTTTGCCTTACCCCATCCGGTGGCCACACAGTCAAAAAAGGGCATCTCGTGCGCCTCCTCCCCTCCGCCCCTGCTGCCAAACTGAGTTTCCTGATCCGAATCCAGTTTCAGCTTCATCAGTTTGTCATTGCGTCTACGCGTGCGTTTGAGACTACGCGGGGATCGTGGAGATTGTCTTAGAGCCTGACGCAATCTGCTCAATATCTTCATGTTCATCAGCTCTCGCATGGACATGTTTATGGAGGTGGGTGCAGTCACATTGCGATAGCGCCTGCGACTCTGCACACTGCGCAGAAAGTTGTCAATCTTCTCGGGCACATCGTCCAGTTCCAGCTGCTGACTGAGAATATCTTCCGATGCTGGCGGCGCTGACTCCTGTTGCTTCCTTAGCATGAATGGCAGGCAAATGCGTCGAATGTGAGAGGTGCGTGAGAGATCCGCTGGCTTGGACAGCTTCATGAGCACCACATCATGTCGGAAGTTGTGATAGTGATGATGTAGCACAATTTTGTCAACGGAAATACGCTGCTCATTGCCCGTTTCCACGTTGCGATCATGCTCGCCCAGCACCACCGTCCACAGCGGTGGTATGGGCAGGTTAAAGAGATCACTGCACATGGATTATTCAATTAGCTGTTGCTTCTGTTACTGCGGATTTTGCACGCTTTATTTGGCACTTACTTATGCACACAGTGGGCTGCGGAGAGTATCCAGTACTGGTGAATAAGAACAGCACCACACCAGTGGCCCAGAAATCCCAGCGACGGATGTAGCAGCTCCAGTGATGCCTGCCACGGAAATTGTCCCTCGTGTGTGGTGGATCCAGCGATGATACGTGCCTCCCGCCCCCTACCCGGACGACAGCCGCAGTCTAAAGACACACATAAGAATGATGCCGGTTTCTTGATTGTTTCTTGGTTTTTTCAAACGCTCACCTGTCTCAAACTGCGCAGAATTGGGCACCAGCAGCAGCAAGCACATCCAGCGCAAGGCCTGTGTCTGTGTGTGCTTTGTTTGCTGTTGTTGTTGTCGTCGCTGCTGTCGTTGTTGTTGTTGTTGTTGCTGTGGTGGTGGTGTTGGTGGTTGTGGTGGTGGTGTTGACGATAGCTTCATCATGTTGTCGCTGCTCGGACAGCAACTCCACGGCCTCAGCGGCTCATCGCGCGCATGACTGACCCAGAGCCAGACCCAGACCCAGACTCAGCTGTGGCACAGTACCAGATGTCTGTCGTTAGCGGTATCCTGCTACTGCTGTTGTTGTTGCAGATGGTTTTAACTATTGTTACTGATGTTACGGTTGCTTTTCACTTTCACGCTGGCAGTCAAGTTAGTCAGTCAGTTAGCTGAGCTGCTGGAGCTGCCAACTTAAACTCTTGCCCTGGCTAACTCTTTTAATAATAATACGCATTCACGTCTCAAGACCTTTATTTTTTTACAATGCTTTAAATATGGTTATTTACGAGATTTCCCAGCTTCACTTTACTTTTCTTTCCACGAGCTGCGCATTAATTAGCCAACGGTGGGCGTTACCGACGACGACGCTAAAACCGTAAAAAGCAGAATAACTCCAATGTCCAAAACCGTAAACGGGGGGCTCGTGCCCACTGGTTATATAACTTCGCTAATGCTGGGTGGCCTGGGGCGGGCAATATTAACGGTTTCGTTTTCTACAATAGCGCATGCGCCGTGCTTGCTGTCGATCAACGTTTTTGGGAAATTTTGTTTTTAGTTTTTTCCGCTTTTGGTTTTGGTTTTGAAGTTCCGCTCGATGTTGGTTAATGCGGCACATGCGAATCGTTTGCGACGAGCGCCAAAATGCAACTGTGCGGTGGCCAGGTTTGCTAACAAACATTTACCGTTTCGGTTACAGCGATGCTGCGCAGTCGGCGTCGACATTTGACTGTGGATAGTGTTGCATGCCCCGCAACAACAATATCACCGCAGCGGCAGCAGCAGCACCACCACCACCACCAGCAGCAGCAGCAGCAACAACAATAATAATAACAAAGCGATGCCAACGAAAGTGAAAAGACAGCGCGAGGCGGGCAAAAGAGCAACTAACAGCTAACAACAACAACATCAAAGAGCAACAACAGTAACATCAAACAACTACATCCACATTGATGACTGACTGACGATGACGCTTGGTTGGAATTGCAGAAGAAATATACATATAAGAAATAAAATATAATGAAAAGGGTAAGTTAGGCTTGCGTTAACATCAACAAATCATTCACCTGCAAATTATTCTAAATAAATGCGAAAATCAAAGTAAAATTGATCGCTTTTGAACTTAATCAACATTAAAATTATGATAATCGTTTAACTGACAGCCTTATTTACTTATTGACATATGGTTTAATTATTTAAATGTGATCTACTGCTATAATTATATACAACTATCGATATGGCTTAGTGTCTAGTTTTCAACACTGCCGACTTGTGAATTATTAATATGTAAATAATATTTGTTGATGGGAGAGAAGCCTGAGCATTACTTACAATGCATAATATACAATATATATGTGTTATACGAAGCATTACAAAAATATCATTGAATATGATCTAACTGTAAGCAATATAAGAAATATCTCAAGTACGTTTTAAATAATCTGATTGATAACAGGATAAAACAATAAAAAAAAGTTTCAGTCCGATTATAAATAGATGTAAATAATTGGCAATACATAATGAACTTGATTTAGATTTCTCTATATCAAATATAAGTTGTTTAACAGTTCAACGCGCCTAATTGACATATAATGTGATCTGTGATCTATACGGAACATGTTATCGTTACGAAAACTTCCATTATTATTGCTCATACGAGTATATCGCTGCAAACACTACATGTGCATTTGCTAAAGTGGCATGTGTAAGCACAAATTAGCAAGATGCAAACATGTTAATTACTGCATTTAAGTGCATTTACTAAATAGATTTTATAGACAATTTACAATCAAGCATTTGCTTAGGTATTTATGCTAAAAGTCAAGTGATATTTACAATAATTATTCTTAGAACGAACAAATTAATTGGAGCAACGTGATTGATCAGTCTAAGCGATGTCGGCCCAACAATCCAAACAGAGTGAATGGGAGTGAGTGACGGTGCTGCGAGTGCAACTGGGTGTTGGTGCGAGTTACTTTCGTTTTCATTACACACACAGCAGCAGCAGCAGCAGCAGCAGCAACAGCAGCAGCAACAGCGGCAGTAGCAGCTGACTCTGCAGGGTACACGTCCGCCCGGGCTGGCATCCGGACCCGCGCCCGACTTGAATTCCGCATTGATGCACAAAACCATAAGTCATTTTGCTGTTGCAGCAGCAAAGCCAATGGGGAAGTTGTTAATGCAACAGCATCGGCAACAGCAACAGCAGCAGCCGCATCAGCAACAACAATAACAACAACATTGGCTTGTTTACGCAGCCAATTGATCATTTAAGCCATGTTAAGTTGCTGCTGAGCTGCCAGCTTGTCAATTTGTTGTTGTGGGCGTTGTCATTGCTGCTGCTGCTGCTGCTGCTTCATGAAAAGTGTCTGGGACTGTTGCAGTTGTTTTTGTGGCGCGGTTTGCTGTTGCTATTGTACAATTAAGAGGCGCCTTGAGGTCCAGCAATTTGTTGATATTTGCTTGTTTGTTTGTTTGCCGCTTACCGTTGACGAACGTTAATCAAAATCAGTAAACCGTTGCTTGCACAATCGGCGAACATATTTATGGTGAAAAGTTCGAGACCCTAGTTAGGCTTAATATTGGGGCTATGTAGTAAGTCAAACAATGTAAGCTTTCTCAGGGTTGCAAAAAAAAAAAAAAAAACTAAAATTAACAAAAAAAAAACAAAAAAATTGTTCAAATTTAATGGAAAATATAAAAAAATTAAATGAATTTATAAGCGTACACCGTGCGGCGACAATCAACGGAAGCGTTGCGGGTCACTTGGACTCAGCCGCAGCGGCAACAAAACAAAGCAACAACAGCAGCCAAATTAGTCAAGCTAAGCCAAGTGAGCACGTAAATCTTTGCGTTGGCGTTGGCGTCGGGAGAAATCGTGGTTCGAGACCTTGAATGCAGCAATAGCCAGCCATCGCCATCAGTGGTGCATTGGGCGGCAATTTCACTGCGCCGTTGCGGCTGCTGTTATTCAATTGCAATTGCATCATAGCAACATGTGGCCAGGCCAGCTGATCGCCAGCAACGGATGCGGCGAGAGTTTTTTAAACCCGACAAGATCGAATAAAATAGCGAAACGGGCGTCGACAGCAGCACACACAGCGCCACAGCTGATCGACATTAGGCAGCGACGAGGCCCGCATTTGCATGCCACGCAGCAACCGCAACAACTGCAGCAGCAACAACAACAACATCAGCAACAGCACCAGCACCAGCACCAGCAGCAGCTTCAGTTAATATCGAAGCGTATCTTCATGATGCGCGCATTGCATTACCAAATGGCATCGGGCGCTTTCCACGCGGCTGACGCGCAGACTTTGCCATTGCCTCACATGAAAACGAAAGTGCTTCAAGTGGTTAGCCAGATGCTGTTGTTGTTGTTGTTATTGTTATTGCTGTTATTGTTATTGTTGCCCGGTTTATACTATTTGCTGGCGTTCACGATTAAATGTTGCCATCTCTGTCTTTTAGTTGTTGCTGCCGTGTTTCCTGTATCTCCATGTTGCTAGTGTGTTTCTGTTTGAATCGTTGCTGCTGTTGCAGTTGCAGTGGCGACTGCTGGCGCTGACAGTGGCAATGGCAATGGGAATGGGAATGGGAATGCCAACGTCGCATGCCACATGCGCCGCGTGCAGACCGGCGCGAAATATTTTGTTAAGCTTACAAAAAATATTTGTACACAATTGCAAGTCAACAAAAAACCATTCAGAGTTTGTAGCTGCAGTTGCAGCTGGGTGCAAAATAATATTCATGAAAGCTGTTTGATTTCAATTTAATAAAATTCCTATCAAACGGAATATGCTCAAAAAATGCTAGACAAAAATAATAAAATAAATAAATGTTTATGCGTAAATATTTACATAAGCTGTTTGCAGAGCTCAGAAAAGCTTTGAAAAATCCAAAAATATATGCTTAAGTTAATTTTATTAACTTTTAGTATTTGTAATTTCACGTTTTTTGTTTTTTAAATAAATTATTAAAAATAGTGAAGAGCACGTTTAGAGTATTCAAACTTCGACGCACTGCATAAATTAATAAATGTGAATTTCTTTTTTGTTTGCTGATATTTAACACATACTTGACTACATTCGTATTTGTTTATACTCTGCGCGTGTTTAGTTACAACCAACCGCAATGTTTATTAGTTACATGAAATGAGATAAATTTGTCTTTAACTATTGGTATTTCAAGTCGGCATTTTGTATTTGCAGCGCATTTTGTTTTCATTTGATTTTTTTTTAGCGAACAGTTTAGGTTGCTGAAAGTTTAAACACAGACTTGAAAATTAATGATAGGATAAGCGAAAAGGCCGTTCTTGGCTATAGAGATGTGTGCGTGTCGATTGCTCAGCCTTGAACAACTTCAGGCAACTTTACTTTAGGCACTGATTTTGCAGGTGGCGACCACACGAAAGACTCTATTTTTACATATATATCCGATTTCAGCTTCGTGAGCTGAACAGCGTTTCATATTAATATCAATTAGCGTTAACTAAATTGCCGGGAGACTCTGGTGCATGTTGTTTTTATTTTTTTTTATATGTGTCTTGTATTTTTCCGTTTTATATGTATTTTTTTTTCACATGATGGCCTGGGAAATTGCTTAACAATGCAACAGCAGCTATGCATTTATGTACCCACTACACCCTAGACTGGTTTGTTTATAGTGTGTGTTTTGCTTGTGGTGTATGCTTTTGCTTTTATTTCCGTTTAATAGATATGCAATTTAAATGCTTCGAACTCGATTGAACCCGCTTGCAGCAATAAAAACGCTAACAAAACTTGTCTGCCAAATAGCTATAAACAGGTGATTGTTTAGCCCCTTGCTGTGATT